TGAACCCGGGACCTCTCGCACCCAAAGCGAGAATCATACCCCTAGACCATTGAGCCGCTTATGCACGAAAAGCATTTTTAACAAATTTTGTATTGTTTTTCTGCGTTTACTTTTGGCTGCATTTAAAGTTGCTTTTGGCATGCATTATTTAGTTAAGATAAGAAAACTTCAAATCACAAATTCATACAATGCCAACCGGTTGTACAGTTATTTGACGTTTCTCTTTTGGTTTTGTGTTTTCGGCTATTTTCTTAATTGAAGCGCCAGCAGCTGTAGACGAATTTGTTTTTTGTTCATTTTCCTTTTGTTATTAATAATAGGTTTTAATAAATTTTACCCTTATCATTTGGGCGTTGATTTATTGACTTTTAAACGCTGCAGTTTCTCAACACGCAGCTGACTCATCAAATTTGTTTTGTCTTCTGCCTTTTGGCATGCTTTTAATTTAATTTGAAAAGTTTTGCCTGCCCATTTGGCGCATTAAACCCTTTGACCTGCGTGCCAAAAAAACAGATAAAAACAACATCAAAATCCGCCGGGCAAAACAAATTTAAAAAATAAGGAAAAAGATGTCCCATAAATAATTATGATAACTGTCAGAAATTTATGCAGAGCTACTAATTGCCACGCCCCTCCTAATCACCCATTCTTAAATTTAAATGACATGAAAAAAAGATTTGCTTTTAAGGCTAAGATGAAGTTTAGAGCGCTGGAGCAGGAACAGGGAGCAGAGAATATGAAAACTAAATAAATTAAACATTTTTAAACTATATACAATTTTATTTAAGCTTCACAATTTAAAATTGAAAAATTGAATTATTTAAAAATTAAAAATGTCAAACGAAAAAGATCTTGTTAAACTGTGATTATCTTTATTTTATTGATGATCTCTCGAACTCAAACTTAGCAGATAAATAAATGCGAACAAAAATTGAATGAAAGATTAAAAAACGTTGTTGATATAACAATTAAATAACATAAATAATCTAATAATGATAAAAATAAAATAAAAAGTATTCAAAGATGTGCATAAAATTTAAAGACTTTTTAGCTTCGCCTTAGACAGCTAAAAGTTTTTGTGTCGTTATAAATCACACGGCTATAGCCATAGAAGATTTATGAGCTGCTAAATATGCTGAGACAACAAAGGGGGAGAACTTTAGGTGGTCGTTTGCGACTTCCTGTGCTGTCAATGGGAAAGCTTAGCCAAACTTTATACACATATCAAAATTTAAAATATAATTATTATATATATATATATATTTATATATATATATATTGTACATATATTGTACATGAATGTCTACATGTTTTGTGAATGTATTTTTGTCACTGTTATTTTAGTCCAACAGATAAACAAGGCAAGGTCCTAAATAAACAGAACAGTCAAAAAGAAAAACGAAAAGTAAACTTTTAAATATAAATTAAATAAAATTGATTGGCATTGTAAATTAGGTAAGATAAAATTCAGTTCAGTTCTCAAACTTAAAGTAGATTTTGAAAGTATTTTTTTTGTTTCTATCTTTTAAATCAAGTCAAAGATTATGAAAATTACTCCAATTGATGCTTGAGCACTTTTCTAGAATTCCACTTAGAGACCATTAGCCATTAAGAAAGCACCACAAATTGTTACACTTTGCGTGCCAAAGGCAACAAACAAACTAACCGAAATGACAACCAAAATAACAACAGGAGTAGGAACAACAGCAACAACAACAACAGTAAATAGAGTTTCCTTTATTTATTTTTTCAAGAACTTTTTACCTTTTCCCCAAACTCATTTTCAAGTGTTTCGCTGAGCGCCACTTAGTGTTGCTGCTTCTATTATTGCTGTTGTTGTTGTCGGAAAAAGCCATTAGAAAAAGGCTGCTTGAGTCTGAAATGGGCTTGGTGGGGGTTAGGCATTGTTTTTGTTCGACTAAGTCAACAAGGTCGAGGGTTAATGAAAGTTGGTCGATCGCACCAGCTTCCAGCACTGCTGACCTTTTATTTTTCTTACACTTTTTTGTATTTAGATATTTTTATAAATTTTTTGCTAGACTTGAAGTTACTCTGGAAAAGTTGAGCACTCATTTTTGTTCTTATTTATTTTTCTTATTAAATAAAACTTTCATAATTTTATCATTGAATTGAACCTATCGCGTTTTTGTTGCTTCATGGCCTGATGTTTCTTACGCTCGCTATTCTTTAATAAAATCTCTTGGAACTTGCGGCGCATGGCTAAGGAGAGGCCCGTGTTGCGTAGATCCAGATCTTCCAGCATCTTATTACAGTTGATGATCTTTAGCAAGTGCTTGCCAAAGTCCTATTAATTACAACAGTTTAAGCGATATGACTTATGTCGTAGCTGCTGCACTCACCTCTCCCAGATCATTGTTTGACAGATCAATGCTTAACAGCGTCTTCTGCTGGCACATCAGCATCATGAACAACTTGGTAATGCTCTCAGTGATGGAACAGGCGGCCAGATCCAGCTCTCTGATTGGCATCGTCTGCAGCGTATGGAAGATGGCTGCGGCGCCATCGCTCTGAATGGGATTCAGTCGTAGCACCAGACGCACGAGGGGCACATGAACCAATGTTCGACTAAGTGTGTAGGCGCCTTCGTCCGCTAGGAGGGGTTAGCGTTATTAAATAAGATAGATATACAATTAACTTTCTTTTTACTTATTTTGTTGTTGGTTAGATCGAGGACAGTCAGGGTAGCAAATGATTCTTTGCCGCAGGTTTCGAGGAAGCAGCGTATGCCAGCATCGCCCACGGCGCAGTGCAGCATGGATAACTCCTTCAGGTGGTGGCAGCCCTTGTCTAGGCTGTGTGCCAAAAAACGTAACTGATACGACAACAGCTTCGTATTATGAAGGCTAAAACGTTTGAAGCCAGTTAACTAAGATGTGTGGGCTTGACTTTGGTAGTTCTTACCAAAACTTGCGTAGCTCGTGGCATTGGCTAAGTCCCTTGGCCAACAATAATATGTCACGGGCCGTTATTTGATTGCAACCTGTTTGGTAATGGATGCCTGCTGTCTTGCTGCTATAGCTCAGCCGCAGTCGCCGTAAGTCCGGCAGATTGCTCAGCAGGTAATCAAGTGGAATGTGATCTGTTGTGGATGGGTTAACTCATTATACTCTGTATGAACTTATTGTAATTTATTGATTATGCTTGCAGCGTGGAGAAGCTGAAGATTTTTTAAATACCCTCAAAATGGAGTGAAATATATAATTCGGCCTTCAAAATGGTCTATTAGTCAGTAATTATTAGCTTTTACTCAATTGTAATCAGTCATTATTCATTAGTCATTAGTCATTAGTCATTAGTCATTAGTCATTAGTCATTAGTCATTAGTCATTAGTCATTAGTCATTAGTCATTAGTCATTAGTCATTAGTCATTAGTCATTAGTCATTAGTCATTAGTCATTAGTCATTAGTCATTAGTCATTAGTCATTAGTCATTAGTCATTAGTCATTAGTCATTAGTCATTAGTCATTAGTCATTAGTCATTAGTCATTAGTCATTAGTCATTAGTCATTAGTCATTAGTCATTAGTCATTAGTCATTAGTCATTAGTCATTAGTCATTAGTCATTAGTCATTAGTCATTAGTCATTAGTCATTAGTCATTAGTCATTAGTCATTAGTCATTAGTCATTAGTCATTAGTCATTAGTCATTAGTCATTAGTCATTAGTCATTAGTCATTAGTCATTAGTCATTAGTCATTAGTCATTAGTCATTAGTCATTAGTCATTAGTCATTAGTCATTAGTCATTAGTCATTAGTCATTAGTCATTAGTCATTAGTCATTAGTCATTAGTCATTAGTCATTAGTCATTAGTCATTAGTCATTAGTCATTAGTCATTAGTCATTAGTCATTAGTCATTAGTCATTAGTCATTAGTCATTAGTCATTAGTCATTAGTCATTAGTCATTAGTCATTAGTCATTAGTCATTAGTCATTAGTCATTAGTCATTAGTCATTAGTCATTAGTCATTAGTCATTAGTCATTAGTCATTAGTCATTAGTCATTAGTCATTAGTCATTAGTCATTAGTCATTAGTCATTAGTCATTAGTCATTAGTCATTTAGCAATAGTCAAAAGATATCAGCCAAGACATGGTAAGGGTATACAGCTTCCACTAATCAACGGGTGCTCACCATTGCTCTCGCTGCCTGGCGGGGCGGGCTGCAGCCGATTTATCTCCAATTGATTTATGTACGTCGCACAGATGTCCAAGGCGGCTTGCACGTTACCATCCTGCTCGTAGTCGCCGGTTTGCATATTTTCAATAAACTCCTGCACATGTCGCTCCATGTAAATGTTAATCCAACGTCTTTCCCTGCCGCGCGGTTGGAAGGGCGCCATGCGCCAACGCAGCTCGTAGCTGCGCCGCCAGAAGTAGTCGTCGCGTATGTGCGAGCTGAGCAACTGCAGCGGCAGCTGCGTATCCAGCTGGGTGAGCAGATAGTTACGGTCCTGTCGTCGGCTCAGCTGACGGTATAGCGGCAGCTCTGGAAACAATAGTCACAGGCGGTTGTCATCTCGGATTTCGTATTTCGTATTTCGCATGTCGGACTCTTACCGCACCAATTGCTTACGATGGCATCGAGTACAAGATGTCGCAGACTTTTCGCCTGATTTGCTTGGCCTTCGCCGGTCTCGGGCTGGAATTGCTCCAGTGATTTACTGTTGATATTGGGCAGCCTGACATTATTGGGATTGAAATAGGCCTTGAAGGTGTCTATAGAGACGGTGCTGGGGAATTCACAATACGTAAAATCCATCCTCTGCGCTTTGCAAACACAGCAAAATAAAGGCAGGCATCATAACAGACTTGTCAGTCGTCATAGAGACGGAAGACTGTTGCCACGGCAATTTCTTGCTTGTAATTCGCAGGGTTGCGAGCTCTAAAAAACACTTTCCGTGGTTCAAACACGTTTTTGCCTGAAGCTTTAAAATGATGTAGATCACGTCATAGAATAATATAGAAATGTATTGTTCAAAAGCATTTACAATTCATTACAAAATTAACTTTTTACAAGTTGATGCAATGGGTACTTCGGAATATAGTATTCCAGGCGTTGGTTGCGCCTTAGCATGCACTCCTGAAACTCTCGGAACTGGACAAAATCCTTTGTATGGCATTGCTCGGCGTTGCCTTTTTTAAATAGGTTCCTGCGGAGATCATTCATGATGGGCCTGTTGTCGTGCACACTCCCATAGGGAAAGATTGTGAGCCAGTCCTTGATCTTAGGAACATTGTAGACTGTCGACCTGCCAGCGCATACTTCACCTAAATTATTGCTGTTTAAAAGGGGCTCTTTGATTACTTTACACTCTGTGATGTTATCGGACTTACTCCTCTGGGTAGTAATTCTGCTGGGGGCTATCGGCTTTTGTTATTCGTGGAATAGTGACGACAGCATTGACATTGAAACGCGTATCCTCCCAAACTTGTCCATATGTGACGCCCCATGGATTGTACATCCATTTGCCCATGGCATCAAGCTTGAATCTAGGTATTGAGATAGTCCATTCCGTTTCTCTTTCCTCTTTTACCTCTGTTGTCTGTTTTGTTGTGTGACCTGTTGCGTGCTGCTGCCTGTCTGCCCGTGATTCCACTGCAAGTGTCTGGACCTCTGGCTTTAATGCTGGTTCAGCTGCTGCTGCTCCGCCTTGCTTTAATCCACTTTTAGACAGTCGCAAGATGACGTTTTTCTTAACGACTTCTTGATCGCCCGAGATATTTTCACTGGGCGTATCAACATTTTGCCTAGAGATAACTGTCTTTATATTAGGCTCCAGGTTGAATAAGGGCTTGGCGTCAATGTGACTCAAAATAATTATCTATTCTGTGGAGCCTAAGTCAATGAATTGACAATATGATCATAATTACAACTTACACAAGTGAAAAATCTACTTAAAATATAATTTGGATCCATAGTTTAAAGAACATAAAATCACATAAAAAGTGTTGTTTTTTTTTACAGATTTTAGGAAATTATATTATTTGGAATAAAGCAAACATTTCACAACTTACTTAGCCAACTACAGGACTGTATGTTAATTACCTCTTTTAAGATTGAGAACTTTGTTATAAACTTTATCGTGGTAAATATAATTCATCAACAAGTAGCAAAAATCCATCAAGCTATCAAGATGCTTTTCAAGCACAAGCGTCTTGGTCAATACAATATTTGTAGTCCAGATAAGACAACAATTGAAATCTCATAATACAATTTCATCTCCTCTGAAATCGATGTTCCTACAGGCAGGCAGACAGAGCGCTCGTCGGGCTAGAACAGTTCGATTGTTAATACATTTTGAAGTCGCAGAAGCCTGGCTCTGCCTATTAGAAACATATTTATAGCCCGTGCGGAGTCTGATAGCTACGGATATGTCCTTAACAATTCTGTTCAGTCAAGCAGTGCCATTCCCTGTCCATGTCCGTCTCTGTGTCCGTGTCTGGGCGCATATTTGTAATGTGGCCAAGCGCATCGTTAAGTGCCATAAAAATAATTCAAAATAAATTGCTTTACATGAAAATTGGTTCGCAAAAAACGCAACTGTTTTATAAGGTAATGTATAAGGTATAATTCGGTCATAATAATGCGAATCATGAAAATTTAAGACACACTCACACACACTGGGGCACCGCATAGACGAGCTGGGTTATTAATTTTGGCGTCGGATTTTGCAGGGCCGCCGTCGCAAAGCATAAATAACGCGCTTTATACGAAACACTTTGCATATTTGCAGGCGCCGCACAACTAAGCCATAAAAATTACAAGAATTTGATGCGGCAAAGTCAAGAAGCCCAGTCATGTCAGCTGCGGATTCTGAGCTAAGTCACAGGTAGTCTCTCGCCGCAATAAAAAGAGCCCACATCAATATTATTGGTAAACTGCGAGTAGCCGAGGCGAGAGTGGCCCCAATGATTGCGCACAATAGCAGCGCGTTGTAATGACGTGTAATTATGGTCCTAATCGGATTGCCACTTGGGACATCCTCGGCTTGCCCCAAAACGACTTTGATATGCAAATGCCAAGCCACAAGATAAACAAGTTTTACTCATAGCATGATCCACAACTGAGAGTGAGAGGCGGTATTTAGTGTATAAACAGAGTTTAGATACAATCAGTGTTTAACAACTACTTCTAAGTATTTTTGCATTAAGCTTTTGTTGTATATATTTTAGTATATTTAATAATAAATATTTTGTGTTTAATAAATATTAAAAGTATAAGAAGTAGCCATGGCTGAACCCATCTTGTATTTTCCAGATCAAGATGGAGGCGCCTGGCACCAGTAATAGAGATCAGGGTTTCTTCAAATCATTCGTCAATTTGTCGCTTTTATTGAAATCAAAGACAAACCTTTTAAGAAACAAAGCAATTAAATTCTAAATCATATATTAAATGTATAAAGACCCTAAGCACTCTTTTTGTAAAATAATTTTATTTATAATTAAAAAACCCGACTATCGAGCTTCTAAAATTTATATTGCATATTTAAACCGCCACCAAAATCGGATTTACCCCTGAAGGGTCCACTCATGTGGCGTGTTGCATTTGCATTAGCACCCAAATTGAGATTACCATTGGGCGAAGTGTAGAGATTGGCTGTGCCACTGGCATTCATCGTCGTCATATTGAACTGCGGCACATGGTTAACACCCAACGCTGCTGAATGCCCTGAAGCGGTACTCAAGTTCATTCCGCCGCCAAATTGATCGTGAGTGCGATTGTGGGTGTGGTAGGCAGTGGCATTCAGTGCGGCCTGCTTATTCTGGAAAATGTTCGCTTGTGCCGCTGCCGTTGTGCTGCTGCCGAGACCCGCCGTGTGGCTGTGCTGCAGCGATAGACCGTGGCCATTGCTGTCAATTGAATGTGCAATATGTGAGTGTTGTCAGTTAGTGAAACGCTACAGACGCACTTACGCATTCACTGCTCCATAAAGGCCCGTTGTAACAGGTCCGGCGCTGCTGTTGGTCGTGGCAAAAACTCCGGCACGTGCGTTGACATTTTCATCTCCGGCCATTACACCGCATTTAGCAGAAGCAGCTCCCGTTTTTGGATCTCCAGTTGCCTGACACTCCATTTTCGAATTAATTAATAATTTAATTGTTGTTGATGCTTAAACGATTCAAATATCTCTGATGTTCTCTGCGACAGAATTCTGCTTTTTATACGTTTCGAGATGGAACTATTTAAAGCAAAGACCACAAGCTCGGTGCATTCCCGTTGACAATCTTCACAAGCTTTGTCTTATACAAATTCATACATACATACATCATATATGTGATAATGAATGGATATGCATTTATGTAGTTCCCCATTTATACGAGTCGTTTGTTAGTCTTTTAATAAAATAAATTGTGACCATGGATTCCCCTAATCAGTGAAATATATATATGCAATACAATTTCAATTATGATTCTTCTACATGGAATCACAAGAAAAAGTTCTCCCCTATTAGAGAATTTAATTTTCATTATTTTTGTTTTTATTTGTTGTCATAAGTTAAAAAAAAGATTTAACATACATATACAAATATATATATATATATTACAAAAATATATTTTAACTTTAATAAGTTGTACAATATTATTTACAGTTTATTTTCCAGTTTGCCCTCTTTTATATATATTTTTTACATATTTTATTTAGTAACCTAAACTTATTTAATCTTATTTTTACATAAATTTAATAGAAATAAATAAATGTGATAAAAAAGAAAACCCACTTAAATACATATACTTATATTTATTTTGGTATATTTTCATCATATCTTAAATGAACACAAGTTGTGAAATTGAACTGATTATATTTTTATCTTTTGCTGAATCAGGCGTGAATCACAAAGTAAAGTAAATTTTCATAGAATTATACAGTTGTTGCTGTTTGGACGCGATCCAACCATGTGGCGCCGTGGCTTAGTTGGTTAAAGCGCCTGTCTAGTAAACAGGAGATCGTGAGTTCGAATCTCGCCGGGGCCTACGCAAGTGTTTACATTTGGTGTGAATATTTTTTTAGAGAATTTATTTTTAAAGTTTTAATATATTTTATAAAAATTATGTAATAAATAGCGTTCAGTAACTGCTTAAATTTAATCATGTTACAGTCAAACTACTAATATATTATTGATTACGAATTTGGAAAAAAAAATATTTTGCAGTTGTCGTCATTCGCATAACTGGCGCCGTGGCTTAGTTGGTTAAAGCGCCTGTCTAGTAAACAGGAGATCGTGAGTTCGAATCTCGCCGGGGCCTTTGATGATTAAGAAATAGATTTTTTGCTTTCTTTTTTTTTTTAATTTATATTCAAATAATAGTTAATTAAACAGGAAAGAATCCTTAAATTAAATATACACAATTGAGGAAAACCCTATTTTGTCATAATTTGAAATACGTGAGCTGCGCTGAATTTTCAATTGCCTGACGTTGCACTGGTGTCCAATGAATGCTGAGCCTGAACAGTATGCAACAATACCCAACGGTTTCATGTTGCTTTTGTGCGTCTGCATTGATGACAGCTGACAGAAAGTTTGCGTGCCACAAACAACGACTCGAGTTCGCTTTTGTGACTATCACCATGCAACGCCCGTCAACCCCCAACACCCACAATGCCAGCAGCTGCCACCTGTTGTCCTCGTTGGCGACATTGCACAACGGAAGCCAGCGACACAGCATGACGGATATGTTCGACAGCATGTTGCACGACAGCCGACTGCCAACTGCCGACTGACCAGCTCCGTGCTTGTGGGGAGGCTGGAGACCATTTGCTTTGCAAATGTATCTCATGTATCTCGTGTCCGACGTGCCTTCAATGATTGCTCTGGGGCGGGGCTAGATGCTGCAATTAGCCAGCAGTCAGTAGTCAGCAGCCAGCATCCACATTATTTGTTTCGATTTATTTGCAGTCTCTGGGCTTATCTTTACTTTTTATACCCAAACGCACAAGGCTGATAATTTCCGTTGAGTTGGCTTACACGGCATATCAGGACAATACTTAAAATAATAAATATGTAAACCACAACTTATGACAATGGCCAACTACGTTCTGTGTATGCATACACAATGTGTAATCATTTTTATGGATATAATTTCCAGGACATTGGAATCCTTTTGTGCGGCTGCCGGTCCGTCCCTTGTGCGTCGGATACAGCAATGTCCTCTTCTAATTTCCTTATAAGCATTATCATGTGAGTGCTGCTGACTGCTGATTGGGTTAATCTGCTGGACAACTGGCTCATTATGTGCAGACTGCAGCGTGTGGGTCCAACTCCAATGAAAGTTGTAATTAAAACTTTGCAATGTATTTGTTTTAAATACAGAATTACAATACTTATACTAAGAGCTTAAGATAACTTATATAAGTAGAAGACTTTGAACTAACAGATATTTGGCGAATATCTAAATACATTTGAGATATTATATAGGAATATAAATTAGTTTTTAATAATATATATATGAAATATATTATATTTTATTGTGCATAGATAGTTTTATGCTCGCTATAGACATGAAATTTGTAATATATACTCTTTGCTGCCCTCGCCTTGTAAGGTATTAAGATATTTTTGGTAAGCAATGCATATGCCTGATTAACAGGTATGCTATTATACTTAAGACTTTAAATTTTTAGCTCAAGATCAAAAATATATATAAGATATATCTATTGTATCTACCACAAATTTTTACCGAAAATTATATGCACATGCCGCTTGAGCATGTCTATATCATACATAGTTTTGGAGCTCGAGCCCAAGAATTTGACGGCAAACTTACTGCAGACTACCTCTTGACTCTTACCGCTGGCGTCGACTGCAAAGTTTTCACTTGTTTATTTGTTGTTTATATGTTTATATGTTGTATGTTCGTCTTTAAAAGTCCCTTTTCATATGTTCAAATCCCAATTGTTAAGCCATTTATCATTAGCATCGCTGCAGAGAGAGTCTTGTATATATGTGATGGCCACGCCTACTGTTCATGTTATTCGCATTGGTCTCCAGCAGCCCAAGTCATAAAAGAAAAGAGAAGAACTCAACAGCTGAGTAGCTGAAAACCTCTGCACAAAGTCGGAATAACTCACACCCAAACGTTTTTAGCAATTGTCAGCAATTTTGTCAAGAGACGGCAAAAACTATTGGACAGACAGAACGCACAGAGCTAAACAAACGTCACTTCAGCACACAATGTCGCTTTGGTGTTGCTGTGTATTTTCGTGATTATCGTGGAGGGCCGAGCAGTTGACCGTTGGCTGCTAGCTGCCCACACATGGTGGGCGTGTGGCTACCATGCGCTGGGCATTAACATAATTTATGTGGTTCCGCCGGATTTAGCTTTGTCGTAAAAAGGGACACACTCGGCCATTGTCCGTTTGAGTTTCGATAACAAAGGCAATGCTGGGTGGGATTGCGGTTTTTATTGTTTTTATGGCCAAGCCAAGTTTATGAAAAGTTGCGCTGCCAACGTTTTTGGTTTGTTTGTAATTTCGTTTTAGTTTTCTGTCGAGTTTGCATATTTTTTTAATTAAATGCAAGTTGCCGCCGAAATCTAAGTTGCTTCATGCCCGGCAGTAAGCATAATCTATCAGGCCATATCTCAACTTCTGTGACTGCCCCTGCGTCCTGGCCCATGGCCATAAAAACGTGCGAAATTTTCACGGACGCGTGAATTTTCACAGCATTTGCTTTTGTGTTTTTGTTTTGCCAGACACTGGCTAAAGGCCCCCAACCATACAGCAGCCAACTGATTGTTGTCACCTGTGCCATACCCATTGCTCCAGCAGTAACCGAAGGGGTTGCTACGCTTTTGATGTAAAATGTAACTAGTCTCGAGAATGTTTCAAAGTTACTTCTATTCTTGACTGTTTCAAGACCTTGTCAAATAATAGTTGCTTGAATCGAAAAAAACTAATTAATTCTTAATTTTTGATTTACTCTACAGATGCTGTATACCTGGCTCTGTATATATAGCCCTGTTGTAGCCCTGTTTAAGCTACAAAGAAATAAATTATTAGCAAAGCTAATTTATAAATATTTCATATTCATTTCAACTAGTTTCCCTGAACATTTTTCCTGTAAATCGAGGGTATTTGCCAGTCGTTCAACACGAGTCTTTGGCTTATTTAAGCTTTTTCGTATACCTGACACGCAGCGCTCATAACTCAAATGTTGTTGTTGCTCGCTTTTAGGCGGCCAAGCAACGTAATGTGGCAAAACAAAATCAGGCAAAAAAAGTAAAAAAAAAAACAGGTTAACTTCTTTATTGCTGAACAGTAAATAATGGTAGGCACGTGCCGCCACCAAATATTTCAAAAAACTTTGCCTAGCACAGAATGTTTCAGGTCTTAAATACTTCACAAATTTTAAAATAAATAAAAGCAAAAAAATTTCTTAATTTAAAAAAGATCAAATATAAATATATATAAAAATATATGTATATTACAAAAATATTATGTATACAAATATTTTCGTAATAATATAATATAAATATTTCTTTTATACATATGTATCTATAAATAAGCTTTCCTCAGTTGTAATATCAAACGCTTGGCTGAATCATGCCACGCCCCGTTGGAAGCTGTGTTTTTTAGCGCTGCTCTGCTTTGCTGCAGTCAAAATACTATTTATTGACTCTTGAAATATTCAGTTTAGGCTGAAGCTCTTTCGGTGCACGCTTATCAGTTGAGTCTGTTGCAACATTTGGTGTTTCGCGACGATCTTGAAGTGCTGCACGCTTGGCTGATGCAATTGTTACGGATTACCTGAGCAACGGCTGCCCAAAGAGTTAATTACAGGCCTCATTAGGCGGCGTCTCATGGGCGATGCAGCTTACAGCAACTTACACTACATTTCATTGAAGCTGAGCTGGCAGCTGTTGGGCACAGTTCATTCCCAGACGTCAGCGCGCTTAGTTGTTACAAATGTCCAAGCGGGTAAGTGGCAGCATGACATCCTTTATCACAAGATCATCTCTTTACACAGTTCTTCAGCAGATTCTGCTGATGCTCCTGTTTCTGGTTGCCTGTTTGGCGGACATGCAGCAGGATGAGAGCGAGGATTATCAGGCGCAGCCAGAACATTTAGATGGACGCTCGTTCTTCTTCCTGGGCACCTTATTTCGACGCTGGCGCGATCGTTGGTTGGCCTTCCACACTCCTGCTCCACTCTATGCTGGCGCTGCTTTCCCTCTCAATGGCTATTTCAACTGTCCTTCGTACGGCTGCAATCCTGCTGCCATTGGCCCACAGCCAGGTGGCTTCTATCCCGCCTACTATGCCCCGCCGATTCCGCAGCAGCCGCAACAGCAGCAGCAGCACCAGCAGGCGCAGGGCAATAGTAATGTGTACATATATCAGACTGATCAGAATCAAGCTAGCTCTGCGTCCAATCCGCCCTTTGGACCTGGTTTCTTTGGGCCAGCTCGGCAGCCCACACCACTGGCACCGCCGCCGCCTCGACCGCTGCCTTTGCCGCCACCACCACAGCTGCCACAGCTGCCACCGGCCTTGCCTCCGCCTCAAGCAAGCGCCAGCAGCTTTGGATTTGGACCTGGACCTGGAACCGTTCCGGCGCCAGCCTGTGGACCCAACTCGTTGCCCTGTGCTTTCGGCTAAGCAGCCTCGCCTAAGTAAACAACGCAGACAAAGTAAAAGAAAACAATACAATTTTAATTGAAAAGTGTGCAACAAAAAAGCAAAGCGAAAATTCACAAGAAACGAAAGTTTCGCTTCAAAGTAATCGAAGCTCTGCTACTCTATCTCCATCAAAATCCATTCAATAAATACAATTTGTAATCTTTAATCACAGTTAAATGCTGTCTAAATGACTTTCAGCATAGATCCTGCAGACAACCTCATTATATAACCTAGATTCAGAGTATCTGTGAGTATGCTAATCAGACCTTGCATCAATTTAAGCCAAGATCAAGTTACATTTGGTATGACCAATCGGCAATAGCCCAATTTGGCAAGTCATTAAAAAGGGTTACATGTAAAAATGTGAACAGAAATGAGGGCAGAACTGTGGGGGTGGCACACTTGCACACAGCCACACACACCTACTTATGTACGTGTACATAGGACACACACACACACACACACAAGCAGGGAAACATGCATGGACATTTATCCATTAACGCCGAAAAAGTCCAAACCAATCTGCATAAACAAACTCATCAGGAGCAAACGAAATGATGGCATTTGTTTTGATTCCATCATAAACCATAAGATAGCTCCAGACATTGCTGATGCTGTTGCTGAAGCTGAAGCTGATGCTGATGCTCATGCCGATGCTGTGGCCGATGCCGATGCCGATGCAGACCCCGGTTGCTGAATGCTGATGAAGTGGTTGAAGCTGCCCAAGGAGCAGACGTGAACCCAACGCGCTGCTGAATTGTTTGGCAAATAAATGCCTGGGAGCGCATAATGGATGGATGGATGGATGGCTGGCCCGGCTCCGGTCATCCTGTAGCCCAGTCCAGCTCTGTTATTATTTTTATATAACTTGTGAAAATAATAATAGAGCTTGCCAGGCAAGGCGGGGCGACCAAACAAATACGTCAGCGAGCGACAGTTGTATAAACACAAGTGTGAAAGTGCAGATAGTAGCGGCTGATGGGCACTGGGCAATGGACCGCAGTGGACCATCGCATCCATATTCAGCCGAAGTGTCTTCAGTTCTCTCTCGTTTCGGAACCCCATATGAAATTGTCCGCGTGTTTATTTGTGTTTGTGCTATGACAACAATGAGACATGAAACTGGAACGAGTTGAGTGCAGTGTCCAGGTCTGAAGTCCATCTGACGGCAGGTGTTGTTGTTGCTTTCCTTTGGTTAACTTTCACTGACCGGAAACGGAAATTAAATGCATAAGTTTGTTCAAGTTGCCGAGCCAGTGACGTCCACTTCTTATCAACTTTCAAGCAGCCGACTGTGGAATGGATATCAATGCTTGATAGATGTATTCGTTGAGGAACTGATAGATTCAAATTTTAGAAAGGGATAATATTTCCTTGCCACATTTAGTTGCCTTAGCAACTAATTAACTGCACCTTTTTGTCAATGGCTACCTGTTATATTATTTTATTTTCATTTGATTAGTCATTTTTGATAACATCTATAAATTAATGTAGCTCCACTCACAACAAAATTGCATGACAAAAACCACAACAGTTAACTGACTACCACCGGGGATGTAGCTCATTCGGTAGAGCGCTTGCTTAGCATGCGAGAGGTACGAGGATCAAAGCCTTGCATCTCCAGAGTGGAAATAACTTTTTAAAATTTTTATATACATAATATATAGGTTTATGTTATATATACAATAATATTTTTTATATCCATTTATTAACTTATTTCTTGAATAATATTATGATATAATCTGAAAATATAATTAGATGCCATTTTTACAATAACCAGTTGCATATATTTAGTTTTGTATATTGTTTTTTATAGTTTTAATTTATAAAAAGAATAATAAATATAATAAAAAGCAAAAAAGTACAGAGGGCTCAACCGGGATTTGAACCCGGGACCTCTCGCACCCAAAGCGAGAATCATACCCCTAGACCATTGAGCCGCATGCCGTTTCGTGTTCAGTACATCAGCTTGTACTTATTTGACGGCACGATTTGTATTGTTATAACAAACTAAATTTGCAAAATCAGATAATGAATAATTATAAATACAATGAAATTATACAATTGTTGTAATTTTAAAATACTTATCATGTAATCAAACAATTGCTGAAAAACCAAATGTGTGTACTTAAAATGAAGTGATAATTTCAACATAAACATATTATTGTTTCAATAGCAGTGCTTTTGCAGAGTAATTTTATTTAAAAGTTAAATAAAATATCAGAAATATTTGATTCTTAATGAATACACTGAATGCATATTGTACATTTGATCATATGCATAAATAATAAATAAATCATTTAAAAGGCATTATTTTATAACATATTTTTATTTATTAGTGAAAACATCAATATGTATTAATTAAAAAAGTAAGCTCTGCAAAAAAAATTTAAAAATAAATTGTGCGATAAAAAAATTTATTTTGGAGATGCGGGGCATCGATCCCCGTACCTCTCACATGCTAAGCGAGCGCTCTACCATCTGAGCTACATCCCCATGTTTTTACTGTGCTGCTAATTTGCTTACAAGTAAGGTCAGCTATTTTATTTTATACTTTCACTTATATTGCTTTTTAATAGTCAACAAACTTAAAGATACAAATTGAAAACATGGTTAAATTAGTGATTTAACTAATACTTCAGTGGACTATAGGAGGCCCAACCAGTTAACGTATTAGCCATAGTAGTTGCCGTAACCGGGTCCAAAGCCGCCACCTCCGAATTGGGCGCCTGGATAGCCGCCTCCATAGCCAGCACCGTATCCATAGCCTGGATAACTTGGGTAGCCTCCACCGTATGCTGGCACTGGCGGAATTGCAGGATATGCCTGTCCCAAAGGTTGACGTCCACCACCGAGCAGGCCACCGAAGAGATTGCTAAACAGGCCGCCAAAACCACCGCCACCACCTCCGCCTCCACCCAACAGGCCGTTCAAGCCAATAATACGATTGTTGACTCCTCCAGCTGAAGCGCCTGCAGCAGGACCAGCACCATCGGCACCCGAACTTTGATATTGGTATTGGGCATAGCTATTGCCGAGGAGTGCTAGCACCAACAGCTGTGGGGATTGAATTGTTAGAGGTGGCTGATTATTGGCAAACGATTTACTTACGGAACAGATAATCTTAATCATGTTTGGTTATTGTCTCTTACTTGACTGTGTGTCTAACCGCAAGATGTTTCAGTTTTTATAACAAGATCACAGAATAAACACGCCCACTCAGTCCGGAACTGTGGTACTGTGCGACGACCTTAACCCCACGATTTGAACGCCATCAATGCTTTTCACACGATTAGTTAGCATTTTCGCAATAGTTGCTTATACTAAAAAAGCCGTATTCATATTTATGCTTTGGGTATAAAACAAGTTCTTCTCGTTATAATGTTAGTTTCAGAGTTCTTTGAACTCGCTGCGATAAGGAAGTACAGGAAATCTTTGAGAATGCTATAAAAGTGACAACTCGCATCGCTTGCCGGTTAGAAGTTGTCTTCATCATGAGACCAAACAGAGTGAGTTCCAAAGTCATGTCACAAAATTCCCCTGAATAGAATGTACATATATTTTCTTTAGACAATCATCTCAGTGTTGGCGTTGCTGTGCATCACATTGAAGTCCAGCCAAGCACATGGCTTTGGTGGCCCAAAGTATGGCGGAGGCTTTGGTGCTGGTTATCCTGTACCTTATCCCGTTGCACAGCCAGTTCCAGTTCCGCAGCCAGTTCCAGTTCCGCAGCCCGTGCCCGTTCCCGTTGCAGTGCCGCAGCCGGTGCCTGTTCCATATCCAGTTGTGAAGCCATTTAGGCACGGTTGGAAAGGAGGATTCGGCGGCGGACTTGGTGGCTATGGTGGTTATGGAGGATATGGCGGATTCGGTGGATATGAAAGTTATTCATCGTATAGCGGTGGATCATACGGTGGCGGCTTTGGTGGCGGCTATGGAGGGGGAGGCTTTGGGGGTGGCTTCAGAAGACGCCGTTAGAGCACAATTCTTAATCTAATTGATATTTAAAAATGTAGTGTATTTAATCTGTTTCAATATATTTATTTTAATATATATAAACAAGTTCGAATAAAATTATTCTAATAATTATTAATTTGCTTATTTACTAATAATTTGTTTTAATATTAAATAAAAAAGAAAAAGAAATGTGCTTATTAAATTTATATTAATTATTGATTATCAAAGTAAACGCAACAAAAAAGTTGTTCCCGCCCGGGTTCGAACCGGGGACCTTGTGCGTGTGAAGCACACGTGATAACCACTACACTACGGAAACTTACAATCTTTCTACAACTTTTTGCTGATATGTTTTCTTATTTGAAAGCGCCACCTATTATTCATTTGTATTTATTAAGACAATGTAATTTTTGAGTACGAGTAATTCGCTTTGAGTTGTCCTGAGTTAACAACAATTATATATATTTTGATATTGAATTTTTGGTAGACTTAGAAAATATGTTTTTTTTGAAAACGACTTATTTATTAGATATTTAATGTTTTTTTCTTATAAAATGTGGAATTTTATAAAGGGAACTGCGTCTCTTGAAAGGTATAAAAATTCTCTAGAAATTACTAAGTTAAAAAAATTCCTATGCATAATATAAACGTATAATATTCCCCATATTGTCATCGATACAGCCCAAGGGTATGCAACATTTAATAATTAATTTTTTATTTTTGTATGCAAATGAATGTGAGCTTAAAACTGAATAACAAACATATTTCTAATGGATCATGTATTGAGGATCTAACTTAAGCTATTCTGCTATATCTGTGATCATTTTCCCCACAGACCGCCGCCAAAACCACCACCTCCATAGCTTCCACCGCTGCTGTAGTGGCTTTCGTGGTGATATTCCTCGTGATGATAGCCACCGCTGTGGCCGCCACCAAAGCCACCTCCGAAGCCTATTCCACCACCAATGCCGCCACCGAATCCACCGCCATGTCCCGACAGTGCATGCTTAAGACCCAATAGCTTTGGTGTTCGAACTTTCAGTCCAACGAATCCGGCATGTGGACCCTTAAATGCAAACAGCTTCACTTTTCCGGCAGTTGTTGTTTGGAGCAGTAAAACTGAGCCGATGCCGAGCAGCAAGAGTAGCTTATGCTATAATAAATTTAAGATAAATATGAATTAAAGTTATTATTCTTCAAGTAATTTTCTAATTATTATTATTAACATATTAGTTCAGGTATTATTTTGAAGTTTTTATATTTCGGTATTTTCTCATAAACTTCACAATTGTAAAATTTATTTCAATAAAATATTAATAAATAGTTTTTAGTTTTGACTCCAAATTTAATTTTATGTTGATACGTCAATTATACAAATACAAAATTGATTTTTAAATATATTTTATTTTTTATTCCAAATTGTATCTCTTTCATATATGGTTTTCCTCACAGCAATCGTTCATACAATTTTGTTTTCTTTGAGCATATATCATTAAACAATATTACAATTTAGTTTTAGTTTTAGTTTTAAATTTACATGATTGTGTACTCACAATGATTTGCATTTTACACTTATTTATATTTTTAATTGATTTATTTCGTTAGCAACGCTTGGAGATTTAAGTTTGCGACCTCGTCAATATTCACTTATTGTCTTGTAAGCCTTCAAGTTCAAATTTCGCTTCGTTGATTGATGTTAGTTGCATGGACCACGATATGTATGCAATTGAAGCTGCTGCGTGGTGAGCGAAGAGTTTTTATGTCACTGACGCGTTTTCGACGCGTTTATTGTCGCCCTTATGCAATCGCCTCTCGATGAGATCTTGTTTGTCTTCGTTTTTGTTGTTGCTGTGAACTTCAGCTTTTATTTAATATGTTGGCATCTTTGCTGTGTTCACAAAATTGACCCTGAAAATTTCTGGTTTTCAAAGTAAATAAGAGCAAAAATACAAAAAAAAAACACAAATAAATGGAACACAGAGTTTATTTATATATATATTATTTGTATGTTTATGTATGTATGGGTGCACGCATGAAGAGAGTTTAAAGTCAATAAATAAGGAAAATAAGCGAATCTGTTGGCAAGTGTTAATAACGGTTGAAGATTTTGAACGGCCACAACATGCAGACTCTGTCAGGGTATTTCCAGCTTCAAAGGGGCGTTCTTGATTTCAGTTCTTATACCCTCACAAAAAGGCATTTCTGTTATGTCATACATAACAAGTTATTATTATTTATATATTTATATAAGTTATTATTATTTATTATTATTTATATAATTTATGCATGAATAATTGTGTCTGTATTTTGACTTCTTTTTATTGAGAATAGTTTTAAATATTTCAAATAATTTATTTATATTATAGGTGCCGCAGGTAGCTGTTCCTTTTAATACAAAATTTTTAATATCATAAATAAATGCAAGAAATTAAAATTTCTAAAATAGTCTCAAAAAAGGATTGCCACAATGAAACTGTATTTTATATTATTGAAGCTTAAATTTTGGCGGTAAAGTAAAAAGTTTTTTTTTTAAGTTTTTTATAAATACTATAATTTTTTAGGATATGGCTATAAACTATCACGCTAAACTCGTTTAGAATTCGAAAGCGTATCCTTCTACAGGTATATATCCGACAAGTTGTCTACATTTGCTACTGAGACAGCTCTTATAACGTGTACAGCATATTTAATCATATTAGTTATAAGCTAAAAGTCACCTTTCGTTAGCTTTCGACTACCTGAGCTGATAGAGATATATCTCTATTTGACTATGTCAATCAAATGAATCATCAAATGAGCGTACATATTTGGGTATTTTCGTTTTATTGACCTTAAAAATGCAAAGTCCAACAATAAGAAATCACATGAAATGAAAACGGAAATTTCCAGCATTTGAAACTTTAAAATATACAAACTATTCGTATGCATATTTATCTCATTTATTTGCCAAAGCCATATGGATAGCCGAATCGATTTCCAGAAGCGTAGTTATTGTAGCCATTGTACTGATACTGATTGAACTGCTGCTGATAGCCTCCGTTGTAGTTGCCGTAGCCATAGCCGTAGCCGTTGCCTGGCCAACCATAGCCTTGCCCCCCATAGCCGTATCCTCCATAACCCTGGAAACTGCTGCTCGCTGCGGCAGTGGCGCTCGATGAGGCATAGTTTCCATATCCTGCAAAGGGTGCAAAGCCGTAGCCCGCGGACCACTGTGGTGCAGCCCAACCACAGCCACCCAGGCAGAAAAATACACACACATAAAAAGCTATCTAAAGGCAAATGTAGACAAAAGGAATAATGTTAACTAGTTGAAGCTAGAAGAACTTACTCCACGCACCTTCATAGTTGATGTTTGATTGAAGACTTGTTAACATTTGCCATGAACATTTTCCTTTTATTATGCCCAAGTAAAGAGGAAGTACGATTAACTAATTACCACTGAATGGAAAATGAACTAGGCGTGTAATTAAATAAACTAAAATAATGATAAGTTCAAATAAGGTCGAGGTGAATAGAGAATATAAATAATTTACAATTGACAAAGATGATCAAATGACAGTTTCTAAGTTAAGTATAATATATTACTATATATATATATATATATATATAAATATACTAAATAATTTAGGCAAATGAATTTTTTATTTGTAAAAAGAAAAATATCTATAGAGTCTCACTAAACTATATAAAAGGTGATGTTAAGATAGCATTAGAATTCAAATGGAGCAGCCGAATTTTATATATATAGATATATATAGTTATAGCAAAAAAATAAATTTAGTTTTTATACAATTTTAGCAATTTCAATTCACTGTCTCTGCCTATTCTATGCCAGTTGCAAATAACTTCCTCATGGTAATGTATGTACTTTTGGTAAATTCTCTGACGTTTGCTGAGTAATCATCTGGCCGAGTTGAATAAACTGCCAACGAAAGTGAAGGCGTATCTAACATTATGCTAACATAGCTTTGTGTAGACAAATCAGACACAATGTGTTGTTGGAGCATCACAAACTAAATACAAGACACATTTAAAATATATATGTAGAGTGCTAATGAGCGAAATGACGTTGAAAATATTTCCGACATCTGCGCCCATGCTTCGCTGCACGTTCTGTGTAAAGTTTGTTGCCTAAGTCTTTTGTTATTTGATTGTTATTTTGCTCTAACCCAAAGTACCTAAGCTGTCCAACAAGCTTCAGAATAGTTATGATATATAAACTCTTAATGTTTTTAATTGTTATATTATGTGTCATAAATAAACAATATTGAAATGTTTAAATAATTTTGGTTCCATTTGAATTTCCAACTGAAAAAGTGTATTCAAGCTTCGCTGTTGTAAACTCAGATGCATGATTATTTTTATTGGGTTTTTTGTGATCTTGATCTTCTACGGCTACGGTCAACAATTGTCTTAACCCTCAAGAAATTATGTATATATGTATATATTTTGACAATCGAAAAATTAACGCATTCTGAGGCCTGTTGCTTAAGTGAGCCTTGTTTAGTGGGGGGTATTCCACGATTTCGTCACTAACTGGTTCTGTTTGTTCTGCACTTCGCGTAGAATTACTTGGCAATGCGTAACGCGTCGTCAGCTTCTTTTGCCCGCTCATTGGGCAGACGAATACAGCAGGGTATATAAATGCGAAGCACTTCACAATTGCAATTTAGTTTCGTTACCGATTCGCGGGGCGACACATTAACTTATAATTATCTCACACTCGAAATGGCGCGCTTGTGTTGTGTACGTATTGGTGGGTCTATTTAACGATCTTCCAGTTGCTTATCGGCTGTTCTTTTATAGCTGTTGGTGGCATTAGCCGTTGTCGGCTATGGAGCTGCGGCGCCGGCACCCATCAAAGGGGAGGGACGCTCTTTTGGACTACTCGGCGGTGGCTTCGGCGGCAGCGTGGGACTAAGTGCAGGGCTTGGCATAAGTACGGGTCTCTATAGTGGTTTCGGCGGTGGCGGCGGCGGTGGTTACTATCCAGGAGGTGGCTCCTACGGCGGTGGCTACTATCCCGGTGGCGGATATCATCATGGCGGTGGTGGATATGGCGGCGGTGGATACGGCGGTGGTTACTATCCAGGCGGTGGTTACAGTGGATATGGACACAGGCCTTATTATGGTGGTGGCGGTGGCGGTTACTATCCAGGCGGTGGAGCCTACAACAACTATGGAGGCTCATATGGCGGCCACTACAGCCAGTCGCAGTCGCATTATTCCAACAATTATCACAATGGCGGCTATGGCGGCGGCTTCTTTGGTTGATAGTCGGAGTAAAGTGTGATCTTTGTTTAGCTCTAGTTAGCTTTTACTATTTGTGTACCGCTGAAAAGTCCAGTTTGTAAAGTACAAAAGAAATACAAAACATGTGAACCCTGAAAATCCCCGACAAAATCCGGTTTCTCTTCTCGCAATGGATACGTTGTCCTTGCCCTCGCAATTGTTGTTGTTGTTATTATCGTCTTCTTGTTGCTTTTAATGGGATGAACGCGACGTGCATAAATTTTATGACCAAAGATGCGAGAATTATATAGTACGTGCATGACTAAGATCTAAAGCCCGAGAACGAGCGAACGGACTATACAATTATTCATCGCACTTAATGCCTTAGAGCCATGGCAGCATAAACACAATTTATGGGAGCGTTCATTCTAAGCAAGGCGAAAGATCATTTTTTATTCTTAATTTGATTTTTAAATAAATACAAATAGTGTTTGTAAATAACATATTTGTCTGTTGTTTACCACCTTCTGACGTCTTCATTGGATTTGAAGACCATTCCCAACGTTTGAGTAGAGGGACATACGATTAAATCGTGGGAATAGTCATCAGCTATTACTTGAGACTCCTACTTCTGAGAAGTTCAGCATAAAGTAATGTATCCAAATCATAGTTAGAAATTACAAATATTCAATATTTTTTCTTACAGATTCGATGTATTTCCAGATAGGACATCTAGAGCAAACTCTTTCAATACTTCAATTCATATGAGCGCAGAAAACATTTTCATGACTCGTTCAGTTTAACTTATAAAATATTTATAATAGGCTTGATCACTTTACTTTGCATTAATCTAATGTTAGTAGATCCGAGCAAATATCAAGCTGAGTGGAATCTGCCGTTGCCAAATGCTTTGTTTTGAGTAAGTTTATTTCAGATATTATATCAATGGTTAGTGCTGAAAGCGAGTGTTTCGAAGAGCCAAGCAAATATAAGTGCAGATATTTAAAAATTTATTTAAAGCTTATCTACAGATGTTAATGGATGTTAAAAAAAAACTAAAAGCCTTTCGCCAGCGAAGTTTTCAATATTTTGTTCGCATTTCGTCTTTTATTTCCACTTAATCATAGCTAAACATATAATTAAATTAAAATACTAATCGATTTTAAGTTTCGTAATCCGGCCTATCCATAGCTGCTACGATTGTCTCTCGCACGATAGACGCCTGTTTGGTAGACCGGCTGAACTTGGCCCGCTAGCTGTTGAATGATTCCATTGATGGTCGTGGAGACACCGCCCAATAGCTGACCCGGCGTAACTGGTGGCTGCAAATAGAAGCACTCATAATTAAGGTCACGTTCAAATAGAAAGCACTCGTTCGACTTACCGCGCCTGCAGAGTCATAGTAGACACGATTGGGTACTGGGCGACGCACGGGAGCTGGCGTATAGTTGGGATCCACGGCTGGATCGCTTTGTAAGTCACTAGCAGAAGCCACAGGACGCGCTGGCAGCTGATCTGCGTAAGGCACACCTGGCACAGTGGTTGCCAGGCTGTTCTGCAGAATCCCAGGCGCGAAAAGTGATAGCCAGGTGGCTAACGGCGCATAGGGGCGCACTGGCACTGGCACTGGCACCGGCACTGGACCAGCAGGATCCGACAGCAAGCCGCCACCCAGTCCACCTAAGCCACCCAAGCCCCCACCGTAGCCACGACAGCCACCACCGCTTGGATACACATTGTACACATTTAAGTCGAACAGAAAACGTCCTTGCTCCACCGGATCCTTTTGGCCAGCTGCGTCCCGTCCGAAAGGTGTGCAGGGTCTGCCATAGCCATAGCCATAGGAAGCAGCAGCAGCCGCATAGGGGCGATATAATCTCTTCAGCTTCTTCTTGAGCAACAGTGATCGATCGTCGCCTACATCGGAGCTCAGCTCATCTAGCTCCTGATTTCCAGCACCCGCAAACTTGGGATTCTCCGTGTCCGCTTTGCTCTGGTTGTTGTTGTTGCTGGTGCTCTGGCGACTATAGCGAGTGTTCTGTGAGTTGTAGTTATAGACCGAAGGAGGTGCTCGCCGTGGTGGATAGTCGTAGTAATAGCCACGTGGAGCGGCTGCACAGCAACTGAAGGCACCAAGTAGCAGCAGGCTGAAGAGCTGCATATTCAAAGGAATCTATTCGCGTGGCTCGCTATGCGATGCTTCTATGTCTGTGGCGTGTTGGCAGCGGACTATGTAGCCAGCGTCGAGCACGCCCTAATTTATCACCTGTGCATGTGCGCAAAAAGCCGAAAAAGCGAAAAAAACAACGAAAATTGCTAACAACTGGCAAAATTGCTGTTTTCCCTTAGAAGGCAGACGATTGCATAATTCCCTTTTTTTATTGGCTTGAATTTTTCCAGCGCATTCGCATTGTTTTTTTGATACAAATGCTAATTTGGAACACCCCCGCAAACTCAACCGGCGGGCAACTTCATCATCATCGTTACCATCATCGTCATCATCATGAATAACATCGTTTCGCCCACATGGTTTAGAAAACAAGTTACAAGCGACGACTCTTGTGCATTGACCTGTGTCAAATAGTAACCAAGCAACCAGCCACCCATAGGAGCTCTAACTTGATGATGAATTTGGCCAAAAAGACAATACGATATGTTGCCAAAAATAATATAACATAAGTGGGTCAATGTCATGACGACTGACTGAGTGTTGGGAACCACCTTTACACATTATGTTTCTTGCTGATGCGAGAAGCGCAGACAGCTGCCAAGAAATATCTGCTGTAATAGCTAAAGTTTCAACATCTAAACTGTTATACATTACATGCATCATATACATATTATATACATACATTATACATTATACATTTTCAATGTTTCATTATAGTCACTCACATATTAACATATGTATGCCACAATATGTGTAACAAAACAAACTTGAATATTTAGAACAAAGTAGTTTGATTGCATGTCATTTTAATACACGTTGCAGTTTAGGAAGCACATACATATATGTTTATAATTTATACAAAAGCGAGTAAGTATATAATTCAGTCGTATGCAACCGACTTCGCAATACTCGTTCACCGTTCAATAAAAACTTATGAGCTGCCTTATATTTTAGGAGATATGGATGTGATCTAGTTTAATGTTTCTTTCATTCAGTTAATCTAGCTCTGAAGCCATTAAAGTTAATAAATATTCGTACATTGACACGCCTCAAAAGGGCGTGGACATATATATATATAGTTTCGAGTGCCAATTATGCGTTTATACGGACAATGAAATACAACGAGTAAAATTAAACATTGTGAACAAGTATTAATATGCACAGCAAATTACGCTTATCTTAAACATTTCAATAAAAGCTGCCATTGTATTAAATATATATTCTAAATTTAAATTTAATTTCTTGACATCTTCTTTTCGACTTAGAACTACAAAACATAACTGTACAATTTATAGATTCGGCTTGAAAGATATCCTATAAACTACGCTAGGTTAAGCCTCTGATCCTAAACCAGATTTAAACTAGACATACACGTTTAGCAGATTGTGCGTCAAAGCCGAAGGCGGGGCATCAATTAAACAGCTGTTTTTGGTTTGTTGGCTTCAGCACGTTTGCGTTTAGCCCTCAGTTGCTGATTGCAATAGACGCGCAAAAAGATGGCCGCGAATACGATGAGCACTCCAAAGATGCCCAGCATCGAAATGCTATGCTGATAGATAAAGCACGAAAGCATGATGGCAACGGCCTAGCAAAGAGCACAAATAAATAACAGATGAGTATACAAATGGGTCTGCACGTGTGTGTGTGAGGCACTTACCTGGCGCACTGTCATGATGATAGTAAACACAACTGGCCCGAATACATCAATTGTGTGATAGATAAACAATTGGCCAACAGCAGCGCATATGGATAGAATAACCATGTCGAAGACAAACTTGGGATGCTACAAATGAAATAATTAAATTGGTTTAGCTGCTGAAAACTCAATAATACACACTGTGTATGTACATTTTCAATAAACAAATAAGGAATTAAAAGATATTGTGAAACTTAAAATTGTTTTCTTGTTTACTAAAAAAAGGCCACTCACCTCTGTGGCAAATGCCAGCGAGTCCATGAAGCCGCCCTGCACGGAGAGCGAGGCGCCGGTGAAGATGGAAGAAAACAAATTGACGCCGCACATCATTTGGATCGAGGTCATTCCATAGCTCTTGAAGAGTGAGCCCTGCCAATTGGCCGTGAAGCTGTCGAAGATCATGTACATGGAGAGCAGAAAGATGCCCGTTAAGGTAGTTACACCGCTGGCTTTGCTGCTATCCGCGGACCCACTCATAAAGAATATCATGCCCAGGGAGATGAGCAGCGCCGTCACATACTCATACGATTCGTATTTGGCCTTGGACATGATTTTGCCCATCACCATTACGGGTATAATCTTGCAGGACTTTGCCAACACCTGCGTTGGGAAGTTGACAAACTTAAGAGCCTCATATTGGAACCATGCACTCATGATATTTGAGAACGAGGCGTACGAATACTTGTAGAGCGGAGCACGATGATGCGTTGTAGCCGGCTGCCATTGTAGATAGGTGACAGCCACAATAAATGCCAGCATACGATTGCAGAAAACTAGAAATTGTGAATCCTTAAACTTTGTGCTTTCGCCAGCGAAGTTTCGATAATGCTGCGTCATGATCTTCTCCTGCAGCACACCCCACGTTAAATACGAAACCATAAGACCGCCAAAGCACCAAAGCAGCTGCACTGCCTCCTGCGAACTTGTGCGCTTACTTGGACGACCGCGTTCGATTGTTGCCTCACTGCTGTTGCCACTGTTACTGGCAATGTGAATAACATCCACCGACTCATAGCTGGAGTTGCCCGTGATGCACATATTGATGGCAGTGTGCAGAAACGTCTTATTGCCTCGCTCCAGATAGTTCGTGCGCTGCACATACTTGTAGATGAGATAGCCGGGCAAAAAGACGCAGCTGTAGCCGAAGCAGTTAACCAGCAATTTCAAGAGCCAAGCATAATCACTCGACTGTGACTCGATCAGCTGCGATAAGGTTGCATCTACTGCAGAGCTCCCCGACAGCAAGACGTGCAACAGGTCCGTGAAGAAGTGTATTACCAGCAGGCTGACTACAATGAAGGAGCTGGGGCGTAAAGAACTACATTAAAAGGCGAAAACATATATTTTCATGAGCTCTCACCATATAATTATCTCCGGTGCTCGATTTCCCATCTTGTAAACGTACATGTGGCGGTTTTTGCGTTCTGTAATGATTGAAGTTCAAAACCGAAATCGCTGACACGTTCAAATAGCGATACGAATTTGGATGCCCAATAATCACGCCGCTAGCATTCTAGCCGGCAAAGTCAAGTGTCATAAGTTCAATAACCGGGCAAAACAAGTTTTTGCATAATATTAACTGGGCAACAGCAGCCCAACAATAAATAATGAAGACAGCGCGTTTTGTTTAAATGTATGCGTCGGGAAGTTTGTTTACATTATTTAATAGTCGCGTGCCGATACATCGGTGCGTTTAATGAACGTGGAGTTATGCGACTTGATGGCACAGCCGTAACTCGTGCCGGCTGTCCAAATACTATACGTGCGCCATCGCTTTTATGACCGACAACTATTTATGAAAATAAGACTTAAATAACAAATATTACTTTATAAGTGTGACCACACTTTGCTAGTGATGAAATCTTTACCGCAGCGTTGCCAGTCAGTTTGATTTTGCTGGTAGTACGTACGGCAACTCAATTTTTAATAATTTGCTTATTATATTGGCCTTTGTACAAATGAGTATTATGATTAATTTGATCAAAATCAATTTCAAAAATCAAAATGAGTTGCGGTTAGTACTGACGATGGAAGTCAGATGAAATAAATATTATTGAGCTAGCTTGTTCGTTTGATCAATGTGGAACTGAACTAGTTCGGAACACTTCAATACAACTCTACAAGGCTGTACATTTAGCGTTTTGCATTCTACGTCGAGACTGCGAGAAAAAATATTATTTGTGCTACGGAAATCTTATAAAATCAAACTGTGCAAAGCCGATAAATAATTTAAAGCGTGCAAATAAACGTTTTCAGGAAAACTTTCAATCAACTCATGTCTATATACGTGAACGTTTATTAAATTGATTATCAGCGCTCAATCAGCCATTAAAAAAGTAATAAAACCAACAAAAGGACAACTTTAATGTAAGTAATTGGAAAAAATAGAAATTTATTTTACTTATTAATAAGTTTATTATTATAATTCATTATAAATGCAGAAGAAAATCTCGTATGTATCCATTAATGAGTCAGTATTGCTTCTCTTTCCTGTTTTTGTTGTTGTGGCAACTATGTATTATTATTAGAATACATTCAAGAAGTATACGTTGTGAACTCATTTCTAAATATATGTAATTGCACGCGTCTATATGTAAGATACAGTGGCAAATGAAATGAAAAGTCCAGAAATAAGAATAGATAAAAACGAGAATAGCATTTGTTCCTACCCCAATGCAATTGTTATGTATGTATATAGATGCGGAGCAGTGTTGAGCAACGTTAAAAGAGTAATGCATATACATAAATTCATATCAGGACTGGTGGAGGCTGTTCGTCTGCTGCAGCAAATCTCTTCTCCGATTCGAATGCCAGGTCAAGAGTGTGAAAATCATTCTAGAATACATCTTTAGTTAACATGCTCCGAATTTTCTGTATCTATTATCTGTAATATATGTTGATCCATTTTATAAGTAGTATCTTTATTATCGTACTTTGTACATCTGCAGGGAAATTAGTAAACGATTTTATTGCACTAATTTACATTCGACTGCTGTAAAACTTATTTTTGATCTTTAAGGGTTGTTAATCTTGGCCTTTATGAGTATTTTTTCCAGCAGCTGCAATTTGACTACCTGTCTGCATTATATGATTACCTGAAATGTAGTTTGAGGCGTATAAAACTGAATCGTTCTTGTGTCCTTCTTTACAGTTGCAAACGAAGGTTCAACCTACGCACACACACAATTCAATTGTGGCCAAAGTCTAAGGCAAACGGAAAACAAGATAATACTCATATAACGTAGATATCTTCTGAAAGTCAAATACACATCGATCGATCATCTCAAAATGGTGCAGACTGGAATATCGCTGAATGAGCGTTTCACTCAAATGCAATCTCGCCAGCAACAGCCGTCGGCTGGTGGGCAACGGGGACGTGTCAGTCGCAGTCGTTCACGCAGCCGCAGTCGCCGGATTGTGGATTCAGCGTCGGCGGCCAATTCGCGGCTGCTGCAGGAGTTTAAACGGAAGCATACTGTCCAGACGGCCCTCAAACTGAAGCGCGTATGTGTCCAAAACAAAACAAAAAACAAGCAAAACAACAACCACAGTAAATACTCTGGGATTGAGGAACTGACTGAACAATTGACAAACGCAAGCGTTTGAGCATAACCCGTGACGTTCTGTTTGGCTGGGCAAGGGCATGAATGGCAAAGAGCAGCAAATATGCAAATGAGCGCCAGCCGAGGATTTGATTATTTTGCTCAATAGAGCACTAGATACATTCAGTCAGATTTCGTAGTTAGCGTTATACTGACCCGCCAAGTCCGGTCCAGCCACGCCAGGCTCAGCCCAGAGCAGATAAGATCAACCCAGAAGTAGACCTCAATATAAATAAACTCATTTGTAGTAGACATCTATTGAATTCACACACACTGAACCGCTACCGCTTGAGCAGCGTCAAGTCGCATTCAGTTTGTTAAACGCAAAACAAAAACAATCCATCACAAACCTTATGCATCTTACAGAGAAGCTTGCGGACAACTGCTGGCGGCAACAAAGCGCTCCGGGTGGGGCCCAACGGAAGACCCGTGCGCTCAAGCAACGGCACTCGCCTGGCAACGTAAGCATCCCCAACTAAAAACCAAACACACACTTGTAGCTGTTCTTGACTGTGTGTCATATTCAGTCAAAGTCGAAGATTGCTTGCGAGCAGCTTTTGAATCAAAGCGCCAAGTGCTATGCTACAACAACATATGTAAAACACATCTACTTTCTGCTTATTCCGCCTCTACAACTTCAATCACATATAACTAGCATGCGCGCAGATCTGATTGCCAACAATGGACGCGCGCGCCGTAGCAGCAGCATTAGTGCCCGACGCCCTAATTCCGCGGCAGGAGGACTCCACCAGCGCCTGGGCCTGCGCCGACCCACTGTCGGTGGCGCAGCAGAGCGTGTGGCCCAACGTCGGCGCGGTTTATCGCGACAGCAGCCGCAGCCACAATTACAACAGCAGCGTGCCCGTTCACGTAGTCGTGGCCGCGCTCGTTCGCAAAGTCGCGGAGGCGATCAGAGTCGGGGTCGTTCCCAAAGTGTCGGCCGATCTCAGAGCCGTGGACGCCGCAGTCAACAACCGACTATTGGTGGCAGAACCAATGGCAGAGTCGGTGGCAGAGTCGGTGGCGGTAGCGGTGGCAGCGGACGTGCTCCGGGTCGTGTTTCAGTGAAGCAACGCCTGGGTGTGCGTGCGGGCGTGGCAGCAGCGGCTGGAGGAAAAGGAGCAGGCAGTAAACGGCGGAGCAATCGTCGGGGCAATAGCCAAATGCGCGGCGTCGCCGCTGGACGCATTGAGAAGCGTCGCAATTCGAACGCTGCACAGAAGACAGTGGCAACTGCAGCTGGACGCGGACGCAAAGGACGTGCACGTGGCAGGTAAGTGACAATAGCTTGCAAATTTCGTTTACCCTTAATTGATGTTGAATTTTTTATTTACAGATCTGCTGTGCGTGCTGCTGCTATTGCTACTACTGCTGCTACTGCTGCCACGCATCGCTCGCGCTCACGCTCAAGATCTCGGGCACGACAGGGTAATGCTGCTGCTGGCACTGCTGCTCCATCAAATGGACGACAAAAAGGTGCAGGCGTTGTTGGCGCTCGTCGCCGTGGACGCAGCTTACAGCGCACAGGGGGCAAAATTGCCAAGGGCATCAATAAAAATGGTAACAAGAAGAAGAAGAACCAGATCACGGAAGGTGGCAAGGCAAATCAACAACAGCAGGGTCGTCGCGGACGTAGTCGTGGTCGTGGTGGTCGCACGGTTGCAGGTAAAAGCGTTACAAGCATGGCTCACTGCACGGACATCAGGCTGGAAGGGAGCGCATAGCGACTTCACATGGAGTTTGCTCTACTCCTGCTTTACAAAAGTGATGTAATTAATCTAAGCTTTTTTCTTGGCTTTTTCAACTTAGGTAAGCCGCAACGTAAGGAAGTCAAGCGGGAGGATTTGGACAAGGAGCTGGATCAGTACATGTCAACCACAAAATCAGAAATGGACTTTTTGCTCAAATAAAGCGCATAACACGGCGATCAAGGAGTGTTACCACCGCAAGGCAATTTTTACTAATTCTTAAGTTATGTCTTTAATACTAATTAGCTATAAGCGTCACATACAACAATTGACACCGGATAAAATGTTGTATTTATGCTCTTTAGCTCATGCTAACGAGGCACTCTGTAAATAGCTTAACGTATAAGTAAATTACTCTGTTTGCATAATTACAATCGAAATGTTTGTATTATGTGCAGCTAAATACAATTGACTCCTTGTTTAAACTAAATGTTATTCTGTGTATTTTTGTGGGATGTTTGTTTAGCGGCATCGCCTAAACAAGTCTTACCAACTACCGGAAATTGACTTTCGGGCGACTCTGTTTACTTGTGTTTGGCCAGCGTGCGAGCGGAAGCAAATAAAATGGACGAACACTGAAAACAAAAAAAAAGTAATCCAAACACTTCTGACCATCCCTTGTGGCACATGAAGATAAATGTCTTTCTTTGCTGTCGATTCTCTTGGACGTGGATTGTCTTGCTCTGCGATATGGAATGAAGGGTATATTCGTTAAAAATCGAACAATTCGAATCAGATAGTTAATGGAATTTACTACTTTGTGTATAAGAATTGTAATATTTTAGAAAATATAGAGAACAGTTGGGATAAATTGGATATTGTGAATTGTATATCAAGAAATTTTTTTGTTTTAAATTTAGGATACATTTTCACATTAAAGTGTATCCTAAAGAAATTTGGTTAATTCCGTTGGAGATAATTAAGGCAGTAAGAGACTTTGAAAGGTTTTAGGACAAAATTACTCAATTAAGCTCCTCACTATGAGTTGAAATAAAAACTTAATTTGGCATTACAGCTCGAAATAAAATAAAAACAGTTTAATGATGTAAGACCTCATTCCTGCTTATACAAAAAAAATGTCCTTTAATTTTATACAGGGCATGCCACCAGCTACTACAACAGCTTCCTGCTATAAGTTGATTTTCTTTTAGCGTTTCTTTGTTCTCAGGATTCTAGTTTTATCTGGCAAGCGATTATTTTTAATTTCTGTGATTGATTGCCCACGTTGCAGACTCTACGACAGCGCTGTGTGGCATGAGCCGAAGCTAACAAGGTGTTGACACAGATTTGTTTGAGCGGGGTTGCAGCCGCAAATAGGGGTTTGTCATTTTAATTAAATTCCATCCGTGTGCGTTGCCTCAAGCATCTGAGTCGAATAGTTGCGGCAACATTGTGGTTGTCAGGTGCCAATTCATTTAGCCGCACCACTCGCTCAATCGTCTGCCAGCCACTAAGTAGCGAAACATGTTTCGGCAACCATCAGGGCAAACGTCGGACGGCTGTGCCAGCGCAGTGCGATTAACTGACATCAATAAGCCATGGCTGTAACTAATCACCAGCAGCCTCAGCAGCCACTACACACCCAGCCGGCTAATTAACACAAAATGACCATTTGTTGCGCGTCCTAATTGCATAGAATGGCAGAAAATACGCGTCCTAGCTGAACTTATCGTCCACATGGGACGCTCCTCATTAACCCCTTTTCTGGCAAGTCAGCTGCTTCGAGCATTAAACAATTCAACAATTTATAAGCAATTAGTAAATGTTGCCAACCGACACGTTGCTCCATAATTAGGGAATTCAATTTATGTGCACACCTTTTGGGCACCTCTGAAAGGGTTTCGCCATTTTTTTTTGCTGGCCAACACAAAAATGTTGCTAATGATGTTGCCAAGAAAGCAAAATGAAATCTACGTTAGGCCGAGTCCCTAATGTTCTGCCACGAACTCTGCTAATAATGCTATTCATATAAATAGAAACAAAAGAAATACTATAAATGGTTCTGTCTTTTAAATTTATTTAAGGAATTCATAAAATATGATACTGTATAATATAAAGAGCTTCGACTTAAAAAAAATATTTAAATAGAAAATTTGTTGTATTAAAATGGTGAGATTTTCATATTTGCAAATCTTTTTTGGCTTTTGCCATGATGTCAGGACCTTAGCTTATCAGCCCTGCGAGTGTCGTAATACCTGGTGGCTTAAGAGCGCGTAGGTTGGCCATCAGGTGCCAAGTTGTGTGGGAAAGCAACAGCGAAACCAATTTGACTAATCTGCGCCGCAAAAGTGGCTGGTGGCCTAAAAAGCGACAGCCACTCCGTTAGCAGGTGAAAAAGGCAAAGCTTTAGCCAAATTTCGAGTCCATTTTGTGTTTTGCGGATTACACTCGAAAAGTTGCTTGAGCAGTAGTCAAGAACCTGCGGCCTTAAGCTCCTTGAAGCTGTACTTAGTGCGTTAGACCTGCGAATAAAATATCGCATTTCCTTCACAGAGCTACCCGTGGCTAATTGCTAAACTGAAGGTCAACAGATTCGACAGCTGCTTTAATCAATTACATGCATGACTGCAGTTGAGGCACATTTGTGGTGTCAGCAAACACGCTCCGTGCGAGCCGCAGATAACGAAAACAACGTCAACAACAATTGCCGCAGCTGCTGTCCGTCTCAGACAATCGCAATACATAACATCACATTGCCCATCACACGTAGGAGGGGCTTCACAAGAAATCAAACACACACGCACTAATCCAGATCAATGGCGCTTATCTTCTATGGCGAAAACATGTTTTTCTCTCTGACATCAATTTCTGAGAAGAAGCAAATTTCATCTTCTTTCACATTAAATATAAGTTTTCGTGAGTACGTTATGACTGCATAGAATATATATGTTAGTTTAGAAGACCTTTGATTATCAATGAAATATATATGTTATTTTTATACTCATTCACTAAGTGAAAAGTGTAGATTTGCTTTGTGCAATGCTCATCTTGCTGTCCTTATCCCAAGGGAACTTTCAAATTCTTTCAAATTATAGAAATTATATGTCTACACCCGGATCAAACTATATAGTATTCTGTACAAATTGGTGCGATTTTGAGTCTATACTCGTGCAGACAACTAGCAGCTAAAATGTGTTAGATTATAATATCTATGAGTTAATTAGGATTATATTTGCTCTACAGATTGACCAAATATTATATATACTTATATATCTATATCTCTTACGTTTTAAGAGCTAACCTAACTTAACTTGATCTTCCATCTAAATAACTTATAAATTATGTAGCTTAGTCATGAGGCCTTGTTCTATAACTAGTTTAATACATTAATATATGATTTATTGTTTTTAATTAGATATATAAAACCTATTAATAAATGTGTATACATTGTGTAGCTTCTATGCTTCTGAACTGCAAGAGCTGATGTCTACCCAGGCAATATATTATTAAATACCTAAAAAAGATTATGGCAATGTTGATAGAAATCAATTGGGAAATAAATGGCAAATGGTATGTGAGGAAAATGCCATCGCGAATGCCATTTGTATTTTATTCACGCTTTGCACGCCCGACACAAAGCTAATGAAGCGTCAAAGTGTTGAATGGCAATTCCCTATACAAATGTATGTGGAAGTGTACGCTGTATGTGTCTGTTTGTTTGCGAGTGCGACTGTGTCACATAATAAATAAGCCAAATCCGGCAGGTAATGAGGTTTTTCTTATGAAAATGTGCATGTGTGAACAATTGAGCGATCAGCGCTTGTTTCCTCCGTGATTTGCGTTCGGCATATTGTGTTTATATTTATACGGCATTGTGTGGAAATGCAAATGCTGAGCTCTTCAAATTTCCAATGAAGTTGGCCGATTTGAAGGTGTTGCCAAATGCTGAAAATGTTATTCCCAGTGTCGCCATTAGCCCAGGGCAAAGCAAATAAACTGCATGGCGGTGCTAAGGCTGAGGAGGAGCAGGGTCTGAGCGAATGCCAACGGGGCAATCAATTTCACGCTTCTACACATTTGCTTCACCCCCACCCACACACACATGCATAAGAGTACATGTCTACTTTTCACTTTGTCTCGTCGTCTCTTTCGTCTGCCTTTTTTGTGTGCTGCTGCCCGTACAATATAATTGTCTCGAAGAACTCTCTGCGTCTTCTTCCTCTTCTTCTTGTTTTCATCGACTGACGCCATTTTGTCGTGCACTTTGCGGCTGGCGTCGCTTTAGCGCTTAGTCAACAGCTCAGCGTCTTTGGCACGCCCCACGAGATATGCAACAGAAAATTTTCATTACTGCAACACCTCGCCGTGCTTACTTAACGTGTCCGTCTCGCAGCTACTGAAGCTGGCAATGTGTCCAATTTTCGGTACAATGCTTTTCCATTTAATGGCATAGAGGAATAAAAACTTTCGGTTCTCCGATCATAAAAGCATTTGAATTGCATTAAGCTCATGACAATAATGCAATTTTCGTGGCACGCACGCACAGTACACGCACGAGAGCACAGACAGTTTGCCGCCTTCTTCCACTCGCCCTCCCACACCTCCATCCTGTTTCAATTGCGGAAGCTGGATGCGTTAAGGCACAACGGCAAAAGTATCAAAGACGAATGCAATGCCATCGGCAGCCGGAAACTGTTTGCTGTCGAGCTACAAAGTAATCGACATAGACATAGCTGTCATCTGTGGGAGGCCCGCGTGTGTCTCTCTGACAGAGAGCACTTAAGTCTACCTAACAAAAGCAGATCTTGATTAGATGTGCCTTGAGCGTGACACATGCTGTGGCTCTGTCAAGCCAGCGTTTATTTTATTTTGTTATTGTCAGTGGCCAAATAGCCTGATAATATTCTGATTGTAACTTGACAAAGCTCTTAAGTTTTATTTTAAATTTATTATACATAAGTTTTGAGCTTACGCAAATAATTCGCTCAAACATTTTAAGCTTCAAATAAATTAAAAAAATATTTTTGGGTAATATATCAGGTAATAAAGTACAGGGTATTTCTTTATCTTTACTCTCTTGCAACTACATATGGCGAGAAAAGCAGTGAAAAACAGCCCCCAAACTTCATTTTACAAGTTTTTCCACTCAACCGAAATAATAATACATTTGCATTAGAGAATTTAGAAACAAGGATTCTCTTGATAGGTATATTCTTTATTAATATATTTACCATTTAAATATACACACATATATATATTTATAAATATACAATATATAATATAATATTTTTATCATGTTCTCTCACATGTCGAATTAGTTATTCTTAGAAGCTAAACACACATAAAATTTGATAGCAAAGTGTTTGCCATGACATTGGAATAGTTCCCTATGGGGTGTCAAAGCGGCTTAGACTTACTGAATGCTTAACTTTACTGAAATTACAATTAGCTTTAGCACATAAATAGGTCAAATGACTAACAAACACGGCTACGGGTAACAAACGTTAATACATCATTGCTATTGAGCGCAATATATATGTTAATACTATTTCCTTTTTATATAGTTTCCAAAATATACATATATATATATCCATATATATATATATGTGATTTATGCTCCTAAAATGCTAAGATAGTAAGTACAGTTGACACATGGCTACAATATAATAGCGTGAAATATGACAGGTACAGTTGAACCTAATTAATACGCACAATGTCTCGCTCTTCCTTACGTTGGCTGATGATATGATAGAGTTTACTAAATAGTTTCTTTTCTTATAGGTACAGTGGAACCGCTCATAATAACATTTAGCTTTCGTTTGAGTGGCTCAGCTGGTGTCTATTTTGGATAGTTCAGCTTGAAGTTTGCCAGACGAACTGGCTTATCGATTTCGACTCCTCCTTTTTATTTTGCTCTTGCTGTGTATAGGTACAGTTGCCACATATTTTATTTTTTGGTTGAATGAATCTCCCTGTAGTTTATATTTGATGTTATGCTTAATTTAAAGTTTGAATATTTTTTGTGGCCATCGTTAGCCGTTGCTCTAATCCTCTAATTAGACATTTACACTATATTTTGAATTATTCAACGTAGTTTAGATTTGCTTGCGCAATATATTTATCCGGCTATTGATACTGTCTCTAGTTGCATCCTTTTTATTAACTTTATTTTTGATTAAAGTTGATACACTCAATATTAGTTACCGACTGTATTTATATGGTTTAGTTTGATTTTTAGAGATTCATCTGGTAATTCATAATTGATTTTATGTTTCATTATAATACTTGATTTGATTTTGAATGAAACACCCTGTAGTTCATGGTAATCGTCGTGTTGCTCTGAATGGAATTCAGCTTGTCATCAATTGAGTTGATTTCGAATGAGTCACCCTGTATTTGCAATTTGACTACCTGTTTCGGTTCAATAGTTTCGTCCGGCTTCATAGTCTGCTTTGATTTCTGTTTGAGTTGGAATGAATCACCCTGTAGTTATATCCTGATTTCATTTGGTTGTCAGCTCAAAGTACATTTTGAAGTTTGCACAGTAAGTGTGTCTGGCTATTGAGTGCGTCGCCAATGCGTCCTAGCGTCTATTTATTTAAAGTTTGCCTCGTTTACCTGCTTTTTCGTGCCAACGGAGCCCATAAATTCGTGTTTGACTGACTGAACGCTGTGCTCAGCGTTCGTCATCGCTGATTGTATAACTGCTCCGGAACTCACTCAGCGGCGTCGCATTTGTCGTGGATGGCGTCATTAGTGGTGGCCCCTGGAACGAGATGGCCAGCGGCAGGGCCGATGGTGCGCACAGACTCAAGGCGCTGCGCCCTTCGGTCACGGAGCGATAGCGTAACGGGCGGCCCGAGCTGCAATGAAATGTGAATTGAAAAATATTAAAGTTTTCCTTCTACTTCATTATCTACCAAGTTCATGTAAACACTTGAGTAAAACTTATATTGGTTGGAAAATATGCAAATTTTCCATTTACACAATTCATGGCCAAAGCTTTTGATACCCCGAAAATGTCTGAGCTGGACATATTGCCTTTGTGCAAATGTATGTTACATACGAGGCAACATATACAAATATATATATAAAATATACTAGCTTATCTATCTATTCAGCTCTTTCTGTTTCGCAAGTTGCGAAAACATTGACAAAGATTCAATATTTGGTGAGAACTTGAGGAGTAGTAATAAACTAAATTATATTCGTCTAGGCTATTCAAGTAGAATTAAATATGTCCTACCCTCAATTGAAGACTCGCCTCGAATGGTGTTGTAGGGCATAAGCTAGTCGAGCACTGCTGACTAGTGCGTTCTTTTATGTTTTTATAATGACATACCGTTAAAGTTCGTTAATCAATCGGAACTTTTTCTTGTTAAAATGTTGCCCGCGTCTTGTGAAAGTTAAAACGTCGTTAACAAGTTTTCCTTGTATTTACTTGAATTTTTTTTCTAAAACGTTTGCTAAAGTTGGCAAATCATAGCGCCCGTATGCCAGACATGAAATTCTAGCGCCGTTTATAATAATATTATCAGTAAATAGGAACTCGCTTTGTTGCTTTTGATGTGCACAGATGCAAAGAGGTAAAAAAAGGAAATATAAAATAAAAGTTTCCGTTTAGTTCACAGAATCTGTAAATATATGTATATATAATATAATTCGCTATTCAACAGTAACAAATTGTGAAACAAAATTCTGCAAGCCGGTCGCAAAGTTATTTTTTTCAGGAAATAAATTCTATTGTTGCTACAGTTGGCAACGTGGCAAACTTTCTATTAGAGCTGTTATTTTATTGGCTGCTGGGAAAAACTATAATAACCACCGACGTTTGATGAGAACAAATGAAATTGAATAGACAAAACTAAATAGTGTTTGTGAAAGGAGTTTCCCTACTTTGCTTCTATATATTTTTTCTTTATCTTAATATTAGTGCAATTGCAGTTTATTTATTATATAATTGGCTCCCATTTTTTGTCAGTGCAATACTAATCTCTATTTTGTTTCACACATTCGTAGTTCCTGCAACAAATCGCATTTAATTTCATTCGCAAAAAATCAATCATACGTCACGTTGCACATCAATTGCCTGAACAAGGGAGAATAAATGCAATGTTTTCAGTGGGTAGCTAGCCGCAGACCAATAAATTGCATTGCCAAAACAACAAATGAAAATAAATAAATTATACAATTTTCTATGGCCTTAGCGCTTACCGTTCGCAGTTGCATTTTAGGAGACGAATGAATGCGGCACGAAATGTCCGATTGAAGATGGTATAAATAATCGGGTTGATCGTTGAGGAAACGTAGCCCAACCAGAGGCAGGTGTTGACCACGTGCTCGGGCACCTGGCATTCGGGACAGGCGGCAAATATGATGTTCAGTATAAAGAACGGCGACCAGCACAGGACGAAAGTGAAGAAGACCAGGCCCAGGACCTTGGTTGCCTTTTGCTCCGTTGCCACTGCGTTTGCCGAGAGACTGTTGCGCTTGGCGCGATTGTTCAGAAATCTGGAGGAAGAAACCACTTTGAAAATTGAATTATTTGGACAACCCGCACTTACCTCAAGTTGAGCGTAGGCGTGGCAACACGATTGAAAGGTAGCTTGAAGGGGAGCAGCTTGTGGCGTCGCACACCTGTCGCTCGTGTTTGGCCCATCGTCGTTGTCGTCACCTGCTGCTGATTGTCATTACCGTTGCCAGTGCCACCACCTTGTGCCTGAACGGTGGCTATGTTCATTCTGTTTGGGCCTCCATCGCCAGCGCCTCCACCACTTATGCAGCTGGTTGTCGCAACTGTTGCTCCGCCAGTTACATTGCCTCCGCCACCTCCATTGCCGTTTCCATTCGTTGCGTAACCCAATTGTGGCTGCGAGACGCTGCCGCGCACCGAGGCCCGTCGATTCGGATGACTGTCAAATGGTTTGGGGTAGTAAGTAAAAGCCACTTCGCGTATTTAAATAGTATTTGCCTGCTGCCTTGCAGCAACGAGTATTTGATATTAGATGGGCGCTGGGCGCAACAGTTTATAAAATTGTATTTTAATAAAATTTTGCCAGGCATTTCCCAAGCTTTTTTGATGTGAGATTCTTGTGCCTGGCTTGAACAGGAGCTCATTTACTTGTGGCAGTTTAACGAAATGAATTACCTCAGCCTTCAATTTAGCATATAAGAGATAAACAGGACTCCTAATAATTTCTTGTGTTGCTTATCGAAATCTAAAGTCTTTCAAATTTATGCTTTTACTGATTAAATTATTGAATTGGCTTTAAGTTTTTACGAAGATATTGAAGATGTCGGCAGAATAACAAGAATATAATTAAAATTATATATGCATAAGGTAGAGTACTTTGAAAAATTGACTCAATGGAGATGATTCATGGATGAAACATGGTCTTAACGGCCAAATCATTCAAGTCTCTTTATCTTCAATGTTGACGCCTTTATCTTCAAGTGGACTGCAAGAGAGCATTGCGACCATCCTAAATAAATACAACAATCGAGTATGGGCAGAAGAGAAAAACACTTGTGAGCTATGCTCCAATTACATACGGAGGTTAGGACGATTATTTGTAAAAGGAATGTTTTCAGTTGATAAGAAATGTAAATCTGTGTCGTTCCTTGGAGTAACGATTAGTTGTGCAAAAAGCGCTGTTACCACAGAGTTGGAGATATGCTTAAATAACTTAAGCTTGGTATCAATTTTAATAGAATATACGTAAATATGACAAAGCTTAATAACATTTTGAAACAGTCTTGATCTGTGTGTGCTATAGGAGAGCACCTCACATATGTGTCAAAAAAATATCTCAAGTTGAAGTATATTCCAATATTCTCTCTTCTTTTTCTGCATATATACATATACATATATATGCTTGAAGCAGGACTCAGCTCAACCTAGCCTGAATTGCCACTTTCAATAATAGATCACGTTGATCGACGATTAGGCAATTCGTAGGCAGCTCTGCAGAGCTTTGTTTGAAATGACTTTATCCCTGACTTACAAATTTATTCAAAGTAAGCTTAAAATGCCTTTTAGAGCACACAAGTAAAGGTTGAATAATATTCATGTTACACATTTCACTCATTCACACTCTATAAATTTCAAGAGAGGAAACTTCTTGTATGTAGATGAGTTTAATGGGTTTGCAGCTAAGTGCCCTAGGCACCATACTGAGTAGAAGTTGTGAAATATTAAGAGTTGACCATGGATATTATTGTCAGTTGAAATTAAATTCATTGCCAACTTGTTGTGTTGCTTGTGTAGCCTCGTGTTCCCCTGCCAGTTGGCATTTGGCAGTTGGCAGTTGGCAAATATTCGGAAGCTCTTTGCGACTGTTGCAGTACGGCAAATAAAATAAAAAGTTTTTCAATTTTTGGCTTTCGACAAGCAGCATGTCTGAATGGTCGCCCAAGCGGCGTCAAATGCTCAACTAATAATTTGCAAGTAAATGGGAAATAGTAAAGTTTCTTTCTTATTTTTCTTCCTACCTGGGCAGGCAGAGAGGCAACTTTTCGGGCCTGTCTCATTAGAAATTCATATATATTTATTCGTCAACTTGTACGGCGCAAATCCGCAGCAAAGCGCATATACGTGACATTTTGCTGAGCTAGCATTATTCCCAATACTCTCTTCTCAGGGCATTCAAGCTTTGCCAGCAAATATGTAACGCCTCCAAGCTGACCTTGTAATAACAAACGACATGAAGAAGCAGTATCTGCTTCCTGTTTCTATAACTAAGTGAATAACGAATCACTTTTTAGCTATTAAAATTTGTTGTCTAAAATCATATTTATTAACTTATCAGTCGAAGATAAAGCTTTACTCTCTTCTTAGTCACACGTTTGTAAGGGAATTAGTTTTTGGGCAGGGCATTGACAGTCGTATATTCCCCTATTGTGTGCTTTTGTTGGGCGTGCTTAAGTCATGGCGTGACTTTGACTTGCTGCAGCTTTTCCTGCTGGTTATGCTAAAATTTTGCGAATTTTGCGCCTTTGCATTAATGCAAGAAAAAGTGCAAACAGCAACAACAATAGCACGAATGCTGCAGCAAATAGCAATGACATTTGCAATTTCGGTGGCAGTCTGGATGCCGAGAGAAGGCAGGAACCTTTCCTAGCTAACCGTCGGCAACATAGTCGCCAGTCGACGTCTGAGAACTTACACCAACAGCGTCATCTCGTGCTGTGGCTGTGGTTGTGGTTGTCCTCTTTGCGGTTTCCCTTGCCATTTTATGCGCTATTTATTGTTGCCGCAGCAGCAGCAGCGACATCTCCTTCTCTTCTTCTTCGCACAACAATGTGGCAAGTAGCCCACAGACCGACAAGCAGATTCGTGTTTTTGTGTTTTTGTGTTTTTGGTGCTGCAGCACATGACGCATGAGTGATTTATGTTTATGGCGCGTTGCAAGTGCTTGCAAGCAAATTATGTATTCGCCATGTTGTGTGACACTTGAATGTGCATTTAATTGCAAAAAGATGCGTAATTGATTGTTTCGCTCTGCTCCAGGCGTTACGCCGAATTAACGGATCAACATAGAACTTTATAAACAAATTAAGCAAAATATTTGTTTGCAATACCAAAAGTATTTATGTGGCTCGCTCTGAGCTTGAGATAAATATTAATAAACAAATATATTTGGCAAAAATATATATAAAACAATAAAATCTAAAATAATATTTATATTTTAAGACTATGCTCACATATATTTTATTGTGGAATGAAATTTCTCCGTAAATTAACCAAAGTTCCAAAAATTAAATAAAGGAAATAAAATCAGAATCAGCTATATTTAGCAGTTATAGAGAAGAGGCTTTTAAAATTAGGTGTTGTTCCGAAGAAGTCGATTAGATGTTACTTTGCCTAATAATCGAGGCCCCTTTAAAGCATTCTAAATCCATGTTTACTTTATTTGAAGCAAAGGCAAACAAATGAAAATCCTTTTCAGAAGCGCTTGCCCAAAACTTGTTGCCGATAAAAAACACAAAATAAAAAATTCATGAATGCCTAAGCCTAGACACGTCGAGACCTAAATGCTCTATACGTAGACATTCCACACTTTTGGTCTAAATTGCCTTCAAGAAACTTATTGCAACTGATCTACTGTATGTCACAATGATATAGTTATCCGATGCAGAATTTTAGACCGGCTTTAAGTACTCTTTGTGGCTTACACTTATCAAGAATGCTTATACCTTAGCTGTTACTTAGTTCATGACAAAGTTGAAATTCCCTTTCTCTAGCGCATTGACAATGTATTCACAAGAAAAAGGCAACTATTTGGCTGGGGCCGGCGAAGTGCTGGGGCGGAAGGCAAAGCCAAATAAAACTCAATTTGTTTTTGTTATTTGTCTCAGCCTCGCATTCAGCTTGAACCAGAGGCAAAGTGAAGCCAAAACGCTTTGCACTTACAATGTAAATTATGCAAATTTCTTAGAAAGTAGTCTGAAAAGTTATTTGCTGGCAGTGTGGAGCCGTGTAAACAAATGTAATAAATTTAAAAGCTTGTATGCTCAGCTGATAATAAATGTCTGCCAGTCGCAACTCAGCTCGACTCCTCAGCTCCATGATTTTGACACAATTTGCCAAAAGGTGAGACTTACTAGAAAAGGTACAAATGTCAAGAGTCATCCTGCGGGTTATGTTTAGTCATTGACGATTGCCATCTCTGCTAATGAGCATTCAGGTAGATTGTGACACCAATTTCATGGACTGCCTGGCAAGGGGATCTAGATACATTTGAAGACTTTAAATTAGCTATCCATAAAGCTATTCATCTTAAGTTAGTAATACTTTAAGTCCTTTTTTCTAACGTGCAAATCTTTATTTGCTCGTTTTCAGATGTCAATCAAAAAGCCAATCTAAAACCTGTTCCGGTCAGTTCTACAGCTCTCGGTTAGCTTCTGTTTAGTCTCAGCTCGAACTGACGAATTTCAAGTATCCAGAGCTGGACCAGACACTCAATTTGCTTTTCATATCTGACAATTTAATTAAACCTGATGCAATTTGTGGTCGTTTGAGCCATTTGAATGCAGATTGAAGGGCAAGTGGTTGGCAAACAGTGCAGCTAATGAAAATTTTGAGTGGGCCAGCTTACCTGTCCATGAGATAGGGATTGCCAGCGCGCTTCCGCCAGAAGCTGTTCGCCTGGGAGCTGCCATGCGCCGAGAAAGATGTGGACGAGATGTTTGTGGTTTGTGGTGGGGTAGACGATTGCCGTAAGATGCCACTGCCAGCAAGTCGGAAGTTAGTGCGTCCCATATTATTCACATTTCCGCTGTTGCTGCTGCTGCTCCCATCACAGCCGCCTCCATTGACCACATTGCGAAAGCTGACGCTGGCGACGCCTCGATTGCTGGTTGCTCGCTGCTGCATCAATGGCCGATCTGAGCACTCAATATTGCTGCCGGCGCCCCCTGAACTGGTGCACCTTGTCCTTGCTTGTCCCACGCCCACGCCCACATTGTTAATATTGCGATTGCTGTCACCCATTGCCACACTCTTGTTGTTGCTGTAATTATTGCTGCTGAAACTGCTGTGCATCTGCATCTGTTGCTGGCCGTGCTGTGGGCGTATTGTGAAACGGCCTCCCAGCCTATTCAAATAGAGTGGGTTAGGAGCAAAGAGGAATGGAACTGATGAATATTCTATGAGTTGATTGCGCTGCTTTGCTCCTATTGACATAAAGCTAATTTCCTTCCCTTGACGTTGCTCTGATTGGCAGTCGCAGAGTAAATGTATTAGATAATCATAAAAAGTGTCAAGTTCTCGATGAAAGAAACTTTTTTTATAATCGATAGAGTGACCTTCAATAGAAAACTGTTGAAGATCTTGTATTTTCTGTTTGGCATGATATAAAATAAAGCTGAAAAATATTATTTATGAATAGATTGTAGAGGAGCTGAAAGTAAGTCGCTTGCTTTAATGGAGACAGGAATAATTCAGAGTTCACGTCCTTAACGTGACGACTCATTAAGCAAACACGTATTGTTCTGCTTCAGCTCCCGTTTGCGGCTTGTCCTAATTGATTTCGCTGCGAGCGTAAATGAATATTTATTATAAATGTCTTTTCTCTGGAGCTGCATCTCGCTCTGGGTAGCATTGACGAAGGCAAAACCCCGTTCACACCAGAGCAGTGTGAATTAAGTTTTAGATTCAATTACTCACACGCCGCATATGCCCAGCTGGTTGCCCCCACGTGGTAACTAGTGGTGACAGTTGTTTGGAGTGCAGGAGGATCTCGTTGAAAACCATTTTCACTTGCAAATAATTTATTGGTATTGATTGACAGATAAATCCAATTGCAGTTACTGACTATTGGCCATCGACTATTGGTGTCGAGTCAAAGGTGGCACAAATCTGTGCCCCGAAGCCAATCGTGCGGACTAATTGCATTTACTTGTGTGTTCAGTGCTGTCGTGCGAAAGCGAATATCAAAGTTTTCAATCCACTTACCGACGGAACAGTTCGCTCTCCGGATGCTCGGCGGCAAAGCGCGCCTTCTTGCGCAGCAGCGGTATGGTGAGTGCGTATGTCGAGACCATCATCAGCATTGGTATGTAGAACGCCACCAGCGAGCCGAAGACAAAGAAGGCGCGATTGTTAATCACACACACATTTGGGTGGGGCATTATGTTCTTCTCATTGACCAGGCCTGAAATTAATAAGAATCGGCACTCATTAAAGCACATTGAATTCGGCTGGCAATAGGTCTTACCCAGCACCGTTATTGAGCTGGACACAACCATGGCCATGGCCCAGACAATGGCAATCTTGATGCCAGCCAGACGCTTTGTGGAACGATGTCGCGAGCCCAGTGGATTACGTATGCCCATGTACCTGCCCAGACTGATGAAGCACATGTGCAATATGCTCGAGGAGCAGGCGAGCACATCGCAGGTAACGTAGATGTTGCACCAGGTGAAGCCAAGTGGCCAGTAGCCTGGAATGAACGATAAAGGATAAAAAGCATTCCAAATGGGCCAGGTAGATGCGATGGGAGCTGCTCCATCGACTGCTAATGAAAGCACATGCAAATCAGAGTTAATTGAAATAGGAATGAATAAATGAAAGAAGTGAAAGCCAAATGAAAAATGAAAAGAAAGCAAAGACAGCAAGAATATTGAGCGACGTAAAACCATTAAATGAAAAGCAATTGCTTAGTGCTGTTTGTGTTAGACATCTATATCTGTTTCTCTAGGTGCATAGATTGGATTTCTCCTTTGAGCAGTGGAGAATGCTAACTTGTTGGCAGTCGGATTAGTACTGTGTGATTTTGAGGTCTGATACATACACAGATAATTTCAGCTACCGTAATTAGAGTCTCAAAGTCGTCGTACTCAGGGGAAAAAACAGATGCAAACTGAATTCCTGTGCTCACTTTTCCACTTTTCTACTCGTTTAGTCTGGCATTTGTGCAGTTAGTTAGTTTTGGGCTTTGTATTTAGCTAATGCCCAATGCCCGATGGCAAATTCTGCATTAATTAGTACAAATTGCGCCCGAATGTGTTGTTTTTCTTGTCCGTACATGTCATTAGACGCGATGCGTGGGCTTCAGCTTGCTAATTGTAGGACACACACAGACAATGAAACAGACGAGCACAGACACAGACACGGCCACTCAGCGCGCTTAACACACACTCGAACACACCAGAGCGAAGCGACGATGAGAGAGCGGATCCGGACCCACATGTCGCATTTAGTTTTTATATGCTTGTCACTTAAACACACATACGCATACACATAAACACTCACAGCAATATATATATATGTATAAAAAAGCATCAAGTGCTGAAAATGTATTTATTACGTATGCGACATGCTGTCCTAAGCTCAGACTCAAGTGTCTGAAATAAGTAGGTAACGCAGAGCGTAGCACAGCTTTAGTTAATTGTACGAATCTACTCTGAATTAAGTTGGCACATTTTTTAGCTACAGCTTTTGCTTTTATTAAATTACTTTTAAATTTTTAGGTAAATTTAAAGAAATGAAAAGGTTTCGTATACTTAAAGGAAGCGAATGCTTATACAAAAATATTTTGAATATCCTACGTGTATTGGTTCGAACCCTACTTTTACAGGCAAACCAGTTTATAACTTTCATAAAATTGAGCTATTTCATTTAAATGAAAGTTTCGCTTGCAATAAATCATATTTATATGCCAGGCATAAGTATGACATCAAAGACCGTGCATTGTAAAGCTCTACGACAGTCTGGCTGCATCTGTTATGGCTGTAAGCTGATAACCATCAATGAGCTGAATGGCAGCAAATTTTTTATTTATAAACTTTTTTATCAATAGATTTATTAGTTTTTGAGCGAGTCGTTTCCTTTGATCGAAACAGACATAAAAGCGGGCTGTTTTTTGGCTTAACTTAAGTTAAAGTTAACCAAACATTTAACGTTTCGTGATGCAGTTTTCACCATAATTGTTAGCCTGGCAGCATGTTGCGGGTTGAAACAACATTTAAGGCAGCGAGCTGCATTTAGTTTTGCGCTTGCTGTCGTCGTCTGCAAACAACTTGAGCGTGAAAACAAAGACCTTGCCCTCTGTAGCAGCAGCAAGCGAAGCATCAGCTGCGTAGCCGTCTCAAAAGTAAGTGCCACAATGGGAAATTCGCAATTGCAGCAGTTGTAGAAAACTGTTGAATAAAGCAAGCCGTGGCACGGCCACAGTGCCAACCAAAAATCAACAAACACCAAAGCAAATAATGCCACAAATTAAAGCGCCAAACACGCAACGCGCAATTAAGGAAAATATGCCAAGGATTAACTTGGACTCAAGAAGTGAGTGCTAAAAAGCTTAAACTTAAAGTGAATGCCATCAAGAGCAACTAAGATGCTCCTAATGTAACTTACTTGCCTGGCTATCGACAAGGCTGTGTTCAAGATAGTTACTTTATATATCTTCATGTATTTGGAAACAAGCTGTACTATTTGAAAGCTGTATTTTAGTCTATTGAGAGCAAATCGAATTGCTGTCTTAGTAATCAGGGTTAGACACGCTGTAGATTCAGCTGAGTTGTTTATCTATTTTTATACGATCTTAAGAGGTACTTCATTACCAAGAAGACGTATTTGCAAACCAAACCAGACTACAGAAAAAATGATAACTAGAGCTCAATTAGCTGCTTAAATAGACAGTAAGTTTGCTACTTTTATTTTACATCAGTGCTTAAAACATAAATTCACAAAATCATTTAAAGAACACTAAAAAGTAGAGACTGAATTAAATGACAACTGGTAGCTGGAGCAACAAATGTGCTTATAATAAAATGAAATTCGCTAATGTATTTGGTTATTGTGGCTGGTTGGGCGCTACCCACTAAACATATATAGCAGGTTGTGTCTACTTTGTGGTGCGGTGGCAACTGGCAATGAGGTTTTGCCTGTGGGGCTGTGTTGGCATCATGTGCGCCCATTATGCGTTTGATCTGTTCATGCTACGTTGAGCTCGGGCAGATATTCCTTATCTGTGGCACATGTAAATTAGGCAAGCGCAAATTCAAATATTATCGTATTACATAAGCCGTTTGCATATTCACTGGCAATGTGTCAGGTTTTATTGGAATTAGAAAAGAAAAGCTGCCTCTAATAACTATTTTAAAATTTTAATATTTGTATTAAAAGGTCAACAATATTTATTTTACTCCCATTTTTGCCTGACTACTCATCAAATGATTTATCTAAGCTTTTAACAAATTTTTGGAAATTTCGCATAAGTAAAATAATAAAATAAATATTTATATAATATATATCAGCAACAAATAAAACAGAAAATGTGTTCGGGCGAATGAAAGTGAAATTTATTTACAAAAATCCATTTATTCTTAAAGCTACTAAAAGAGATTTAGTTCAATTAGCTCAATATGAAATGTGATTCGTGAATACTTGAAATTCAGGCAGAAATTGCCTGGATTTTTAATATAGACTAATAAAAGTTAGTAACTAAGAATCAGACTGTACTTTTGCAAAGCTTTTCGATGTGCTTAACTTGAAATTTTAGCATGTAACGCTCTTCAGATATTTGAATATTTAAGAATAAGTAAAAAATAAAACTTATTTATTTTATCGAAAGATCGTCAGCTGAATTCTGATCAGCTCTTCTATACAGTCTCTTCCTCTCATACATTCACTTATGCCTATCTCTCCTTAAGCTTTTTTGAGCCTGACTAGATGAAGGTCAGCTTTGCTTTGAGCTCGTCAAAACAGTTTCCAAAACTATAGTCCGATTCTTGGTTATTAATAGCCGATATCGTTTAGCACTTACCCAAAAATGCTGGAATCGCGCCCATGGGCATGACAAACAAGCTGACGAGCAGATCGGCTATGGCCAGCGAGAAGAGGAAATAGTTGGTGACATTTTGCAACTTGCGATCGAGGGCGACGGCCAGGCAGACGAGTATATTGCCCAAGCCGCCGGCAAATATGAAAAAGACGACGAAAAAAAACAGCCAATCGTAGCCATGTGGCGAGTAGTCAAGGAAACTCCTCGATATGACAATGTCGGCTGCCGTTGTTGTTGCTGTTGTTGTGCCCAGTGTTGTGTCGGACAGCGTGTAATTAGAGAGTATCATGTCCAAGCTAGTCGTTGAATTGCTGGCACTTTCGTTGCCAGTGCCAACACTGACATTGTCCACCATTTCGCTGAAGTTCAGCCAAGACCACAGGCTGTCGCCCAGTTCAATGTTATAGTTCAGCCAGCTCGTGGCTGTCTGTGGGGCTGTGGGGCTCACAGTATCCGGCTCTAGCTGAAGTTGGCACAACAGGTCCTCCTCCATGGACTCACATAGAAGCAGCTGCCGATTGCAGTTGCTACTAAAACTAAACGTATCACTCACATTATCACTAACGGCCCCATTGATTTCCAGTTCGAATTGCGCATACGCCTCGTGTTGCGGCTTCAAAAGTTGCGTCTCTAGTATGCAAGGCTTTAATACGGATGCCTCTGCCTCGGACTCTTCGAATACAGTACTGCAGGCATAAAAGGCGTTATCATCGTTTCTATCGAAGCCCTGCAATGTGCAATGGAATGTTGTGTTGCTGCTGGTGCTGTTGTTGTAGGAATTGTTGCTGCCGCTCTGTGTCGCCTCGCAGCTAATGAACGGCTGCCAGCGCTCGGGCTGTGCCGTTTGTGCCACACGACAATTGAACTCGTGCGGCTTAGTTGTGAATGTTGTCGTAGTACTTGTTTCGCCTGTTGGCGCTTCAGGTGTCGGTGTCGCTGCTGCTTCTTTTGTTGGTCTATGACCAGCCTCACCTTGCATCTCCATTTCATTCTAAAGCTGTGTGGCGTGCTTAACAACAGCAACTCGTTAAGCTTGTGCCTTTGTTGCTGCTCTCTCAATTGTTACTTCTGCTGTAAAAATATGTATAAAGGAGACTAGTTTAAGTATACTAAATTAATTTGAATCTGTGATCTAAATCTAAATTTATGAACTATATTCACTTATTTAGCTGAATTTGGATAGTTTTACCCTTCACGTTCCTCTGCTGAATCCTTTTTAATTAATTGCAAATAAACGCTTTACAAATTGCCTCTGACATGCTTTATTGCAGAAACCACAGAACATTCACAGTATTGCTTAATTAGCCATCGAGAATGCAAATGTAAATGCCACGGAAATGTATATTTGCATAGATGCACACTGACACAAGGGCATTCTAGTTATCAGCCTAGTTGTGGTAGCCAATTACTTTTAACTATGATACGAAAATAATGTAAAATAGCGAAATTCATTTGAATTTGAATTTGTAATTCTATGCAACTGTTGTAAGAGCGTGCAACTGCCACATGAGATGCTTTTTAGAGAGCTCGTCCGCAAGGGTATTTGATGCTGGGCTTTAGTTGACTGGCCATTTCTCGTTTTAAATATGTTTTCATTTTTGTTCGCTGCTGTCAATAGTCGCTGCCATGGTGGCCTGACATCGGCGCTCAATGGACTGCCGCGTCATCGTTGTAGATTTCCATCGGCAGTGCGATGTGAATGGCAGCGGCACAAAAGCGCAGCTGCCACTGAATGAGTATGGCTTTTGTGTATCATTAACTGCAACTGTCAGCTTTAGCCATTCGTTAGTCCCCAGTTGCAAGTCGCTAGTCGCTAGTCGCTAGTCGCTAGTTGCCAGGGGCTGCCACGCGCCTAAAACGCTTTTTGTTTGCATTGACGGCTTGGAAATATCAGGCCTGTTTGACCCTTTGGTCGATAATGAGCTCACACCTCCCCTAACATGTCCTTGAGAGCACAATTTGTGACTAGCAGCACAAAGGCTTAATTAAAAATGCACCACGTTCAAGATTTATGTAAATTTGGCAACCGCTGCCGCTGCCACTGCTGCTTCCCACTGACGCAGCGGTGAGGCCTTCCTCCATTTATTTAGTTAACTTAAATTATGTTTAAAGTTTGTCGCAGCACTTTCAACTTTCACATGTGTGTAAACTACAGGCGAAATATTGTTGCACAATTTTTTGAACAGAAATTTATTTTCTGAAACTATTCCGGCGTGCGTCATGTGGGTGGCATCACCCGCAGGACTGCAGCCAAAAAGCGCATTTTGTATGCAAGTGATTTGCCCAATCAACCGCAACAAAGGCAGTTTTAGAGTGGTTCGGGTACGGGGTTCGGTCACAACCACAACAACGTCAACAAGCATGCACTCATACACACGCACACACTCACACACACACATGCAACCCAACCGCTATTTGAAATTTGGCGCTTGGTGAAATGAAATATTTTTGCGTTGCCAAAATGAAAATAAATGGGTTGCATTTGGTTCCCTTTGCCATATATACAAACTGCGAAAGGGCGTATCCTGAAAATGGTATCCAGAATAGCCAAGTTTCCTCAACATAATTCCCACAAATACACACAAATCTCTTTCGGTCTGTTCGAATCGCTCAATGAAACTATCGCAAAAGCTTTTCCTAAAGAGCCACTACAAAATATGAAGGGTAAAACCCTTAAGCAGGATTTGTGTTCAAATTGAAGCTGCTCCTCACATATTCAAACTTAAATATTCCATTTACCTTTGCAAATTGTTTAAAAACTATACTTTGTGAATTCATATTAAATACTAAAATTTTATATGTGCTAAATTGATTTAATTTAATAATTATTCAAAAAATAAAAAGTCTACCGTCTAATATTTAATGAATATAAAATTGGCAAAATGCTAGCGACTGAAGTTTGCTTCGTGAACAAAATTAAATGAAATACATTATTCATATCAATATATTCATATACTCATTAATTAATTTATGTTGTTTTTTTATGATTTAATATCTTTACAATATAATTATATAAATAGTGTTAATCGAAACGCGGATTAAAAATATAAAAGCGAAAAGTGCCTGAATAGCATTTTATATTGAAGCACATCGAATAAAAATAATTTTAATTTATTTCCTGTTTTTTTTTTCCACAATAATAAATGGATTTTAGCCAGCAAAATTCTTGTAAATTTCAATCAAAAGTGGAATTTGAGCCATATTTAAATGTTTTTGTAGTTCAATTATGTTGGAGCATTACAAGTTTGGTGTGTTAGTCGCTTAAATTTGCAGCAATATTTTTAAGCCACAGCGCTGCTATAATTAACAATTTGGTTAGGTGCCGTGTGGTTTGGAAGGCAATGAAATTTTGATTGGATATGTAGCAAGCAGGAAAGCAAGCGCGGCCAGGTGTTATCGCTGGCCACCTGGTGTCAGCTCGATGACAGGGCGCGTTAAGTGGACAAGTAACACTCGACTTCAGTCACTGCCTATGGCAGCTGCTCCAAACATAAGTAGATGTCGGGGTCGTCATACGAGCATATAATGCACTCGCCCTGACAGTACTTTAATGGCTTAATTTGAAAGACCTCTCCTTCCGCGACCCTCGTCATGCCCTCTCCGGCGACAGCTGGTCCAAAGCTTTAATGATGTCATTGCAACTTAAAGTCCGTCGCATCATCCACTTGTCACAGTTTCTATACACGTGGCTTTTCCTGTGTGTGTGCGTGGGTGTTGTGTGCACTGGCATGCTGGCCGCTTAATGAGTCGGCAAGGTAAGCAGCAGTGACTTTATTACCGCCACCTGGCAGCTGCCTGCGCACCTTTTGTTTGATTGTTTCCAAATGGCTTATATTCTGCAGGACACACAGAGCGATGGAAACATCATTATTTTTGGAGCTCCCGGCTGTGTTGAATATGAAATAGTAAAGTATAACTGCGGCTCTGTGCTGATATAATTAAGCACTTTTCTGCCTCTCTGTTTAAGAGATATTATATAGCTTCGATTCAATTACCCAGCCACGAGCATATTCCACTGTATTTTCTACTTGAGTGCATAACTCGAACTAGGAAACTCCGTAAGCATTTTATTTATGCCTCACAGAGCTTCTTCACTCATTATCTCAATGATTCTGGCTTGAGACGGTGTCTACTTACATACTCTCATTAGAAACGTTACCCAGCCAAGGTCGCAAACTAAGTTTTCATAAACTTTTTTGGTACTTTCCTACGCTGCCCTTGAAAATATCCTGTTTACTCTCTTAAAGATTCCCATTAATTAAGACAAGAAAGTTCGGAACTGAAGTTACTTAAATTACATTAGAAGTTATCTACACTTCACTGGGTTGCTGAATTCTGAAGGCATTTTGCACTGAATTATCGTTATGCATATCGCACTTCTGATTTCATCTGAAATCTGATGATTCCCCTAAATTTGAGTTGGCCAATCAAATTTATCGAACGATTGGTAAAAAAGCTAAATATGTAAATTGAAAATAGCTTGTTCAAGCGTGTGCAGTGCTTAAACAAATAAGAGTTTTCCAATTGGAAGTGCCTGACTGACAAATACTCTGAGCTCTAAAAAATTCTTTGAAAATGTATAACATTTTCCTATACAATCTGTAGTGATTTGTTGCGCTAGTGAAGACTTAAATTATAACTTTAAAAGGTTATATATTCATATTAATTAATTATAATAAATATTACGAATGTAACTTGAAAGACTAAAAAGTAGAAATATAAATTTTTATATCGATTTCAAAAGTTGACTAGAATTTTATAGCATTTGCGCACGCAATGGATGGACCTCTTTAAGTCAGTGAGTCGCTCATAAAAGGGCTTTAATTAGCAATTAGCACTATCAATCTAAAAGCAGTAAAAGGTATTAATATTATTAACTTTTTTCATTTGGTCATAAAGTCATATTGGAATGTCTTGTTTCTCTCTCAATTCAGAACGCTCCCTGTAGTCAGTCAACTGAACATTTTTTAACCAAGCGAAATACACGTTCTCATACGCTTTAAATTTAAAGCATCTGAAACTTCAATAGAGGCGAATAATCCTACATGAATAGATACTCAGCCACGAGCAAACAGCAATACGTATAATGCACAAAACCAATATACTCGTTTGAGTATCATCGCCTTAGCTGCAAAGCTCACTTTATGGCCAAACGGCAGGCATAGCAAACGAGCGGAATGAAAACACCGGCCAGCGACAGCAACAATGCAACAATGGGAAACTACAAAAGAAAAAAAATTTGGAAAACTGGTAAAATAATATTTGTTGGAACCCAATATTTGTTGATAGTTTAGCTTTTATTTATATACCCCGTTTTCGGTGAGACATGGCGACGGAGTGTGCTGTTTTTTAGATGAAGTTTGCTTATATATATATATATATATATATATATTTTAATTGAGGTTGAAGCTAATGAATTAGATATATCTATATGATAGTGCAGACCCTGTATGTGATGTGTTATAGTTTAATGTGTTATAGTTTATTTAATGTATTTCATATGAGAACAGCCATGAATAGCTATGCCTGTAATAACGGTTAATACTGATTTGACTTATTTCAATTGAACTTATATACTAATATAGAATATGTACTAGTCGACTACTCTCAACAACTATACTCTACTTGTTTTTGTTAGTTTCCGCTACGAAGCAAAACTATTTTTAGTTACTGCGGCAGCTGATCAAGTGGAATACGAGACACACTTTACACACTCGTTCCAATACGGCACATGCTATGCATGAGCTAGCCATGACTAAGGAGATCAATTGTTGCGCTTTTAATTCGTTTTATTTGCATTGATATCACAAACTGCTGTTGCCCAACTGTGTTGACATTGCGATTGTTTGTTGTTGTTACTGTTACTGTTGTTGTTGTCGTCAGCCATGTGTGCCTTAATTTGCGGTTAATTATGCAATTAAATATTAACGGTGCGCTGCATCGTGGCGCTTGACTTAAATTTCAGTGGCTTAACCAACAGCACGTTGTCAACATTTTATGGCCATGTTTAACTAGTTGCTGCGCGAGCTTACAACATGTTGCCATGTTGCTGTGTGCGGCGTCCTCGCCAG